CAAAATTTTAAAAACAAGGTACATTAATTTCAAAAACTTATTAATAACCCTAAAATTAAAACACAAAAGGAAAAAATAAACTAAAATTTAGGTACCTTATGCTTCCGAAAAACATCACTTGAACTACTGATAAACTTCTTTTTCATTTTTTTAGCAATCTACAAGAAAAATTAAAAAATATTTGAGTGATAAACATAATGAAAAGATAATAATAATTAAATCACAAAAAAATTACCTGTTTCTTGAATATTTTCAACAAAAGCTTTTCCATGTTATCATCAGAAGAAGAATCAGTATACTGTTAACAAAGCAGAAAAATAAATATGTGGCATAAATACATAAATGAAATGGAACATACAAAAAATAAAAAAGCACATAATGAAAAAGAGCATTTATCACAAAACCTTAGAAACACCATCAAAAAAATTCTCAGAAGATTCAGAATCATCATAATGAGATTCATCAGAGGAAATAACAACAGCCTTGGCAGCCTTTTTTCTTTTATCAACACGAGGCATCTACATATTATAAAACAAAAACAAAAGATGAATTGAATCCACATCACTAAACATTCAACACTATAAATAATAATACCAACCAATTCATTTATAGTTGTACATAATATCAACACAGAACACTTGCATCATGCTTGACATACAAAATATCAAAAACACTATATTTGCATCAAATAAAAAAATGATTCACCAAGTCCAAAGGTCTTTGTGTGCTTTTTTGCATTAAACAAAATTAACCATCTGAATCAGATTAAGATATTAATTATCATTCATACTTCCAAGAAATATACAATAAAAAATAAAATGCCATCAGATATTTAAAAAACACCTCAAAGCTCTGCACATCATCAGACAAGAAATTTAATCATTCTTTTCACTTAGAATGAATAATTTTCTTGCCTGATGATGTGCAGAACTTTGATTTGCTTAATTCAAATCATATGTATCATCATCTGGCAAAAACAAAAAAACAATAAATGACTACAAAATTCTGCGTATCAAGTGGTTTAAACTAGTACATCACTAAAATGCAATCATATTACATCAGTGAACATTCAGAACTATAAATAAATACTTCCCACCAAATCAAATACAGTTCTACAGAATATATATAAAAAACATTAATAATGCATAATGCTTCATGTGTAGGCATACTTTTTGCTAAAGGAACAAATTAAACTCACAGGACACCTACTGCAAATCAAACAGCAACTGCAAATACCACCCCACACCCTTGACAAAAGGTCCATTTAAAAACAAGTATGGTACCTACTTAATAAAACTACCAAAATTCTTAAAACTACAAATAGCTAAAATACAATCAGATTTTTTTTAAATGATAGACCTACACAGTCAAACAAAATATCACAAAAGCAGGCCACACTCAAGCATCCTTCAAATCTGTATATCAACACTCAGCCACACAAACATGCAAACTTCTGCACATGCTGCAAGTTTCAAATGCTAAAATAACATATACCAAAATTTACAAAACAACAAAACTATACCACAATAAAATAATTTAACATGATAAACATATCTGTAACAGGGCAATAACCAAAAATATTCAGTTACTTCATAGCATAGCTTTCTGCTCTCATAGATTCCCAAAGCTAGATCAGAGCATCAACCTGCTTATACACTATAATTTGAAGCACAAGGCCCTTACTAGACTGAAATATTTCAGAGAACAAAAACTAAGATCACTACTAAAAATACTCATCACATAATCCAAACAAATCATCACTGCTTCATTTGTCACCAGGTCAAAATCAAATGATGTATAGGAACTCCCCATAACTAACCAAATCTACGAACAACATATCAAATCCACATGAATAGAACACAAATCTCCACCAAAATAAAATTCAAATCAGTGAAAACAACTCACCTTATAAGCCAAAAACAAATCTCCACAACAAAAACTGAATCAAATACGCAGATCCAATCCTGCACACCAAAACAAAGGAGAGGATTAAACCAAAACTTGAAACAACAAAGCAGAAGCAAAAAAGCCTTACCGAAACTGCAGATCGACACTTCACCGCCGAGATGCCGTCGACAGCAGGAATCCCCCACCACTTCGCCAAGGAAACCTACACAAAATACAAAGGAAAAATCAAACATAACTCAAACAAAAACCAAAGGAGAAGATTCAACCGAGCAAAAGGCAAACTAAAGCAGATCCAATCCTACACACCAAAACAAAGGAGAGGATTAAACCAAAACTTGAAACAACAAAGCAGAAGCACAAAAACATCACTGAAAGTGCAGATCGACACTTCACCGCCGAGATGCCGTCGACAGCAGGAATCCCCTACCACTTTGCCAAGGAAACCTACACAAAATACAAAGGAGAAATCAAACATAACTCAAACAAAAACCAAAGGAGACGATTCAACCGAGCAAAAAGCAAAAGCACAAGCAGGGGAACGCACACACCAAAGCACAAACTCACCGGAGCAAGGAAACCAAACTTCGCCGGCGAAACGCCGACGACAGTCGGAATCGCCAACCCGTCGCCGAGGCGGAGTCAACGAGAGAAAGAGAGAGAGAGAGAGAGAGCTGAGTTGCGTTTTCTGCCTCTCTCTCTCCTCTGTCCGAAATTTTCTCTCTGTGTCGGAGGCGCGCAATTCGAAATCTACAGTAAAAATGAACAGTACAATGGGACCCACATAAAGCCCAAACCAAAACCCAAACGGGATCCAGCCCAAACAAGAATCCAACATCAGACAAAGGCACGAATCTTGACACAATCCAACGTTCACAAATCTGCATGATATGGGACTCCAAAATCTGTCACAAGACAGATAGCAATCCCGTATTAATTATGTAAACAGACTCGGACTTGAGTTTAACATTGCCTTAAGTAATACGGCATGGCTTATAGTTTGGGCTATGTACTATCATGTACTCCCTCTATCTGAAAAAACATCTTCTGGCTATGAATCTGAACATAGCCTATGTTTAGATTTGTAGCCAGAAGTTTTTTTTTTAATGGACCAAGGGAGTAATAGATAAGAAAACTAATGACCTCCTGCTATGTTTTTCTTATTATAATCTTGCCTCCCAACTTATATAAGATGAGCAAAAGAGTCCTTTAAAGGTATATCCATAACTCAATCGTCGGATCAATATAACATGCGACATATACAATCACGAAACAGGAATAGGATATTATTTTTTATCGAGAAGGCATGAACTTGTCTAAATTGTTATCTACTTCACTCATACATATCCACTAAGTCTAGAAACATCAAACTTTACATCCAACAATGCTATTCTGTATCTCCTATGGAAAGACACATGATGAATCAAAGGAGTAAAATCTGAATTCGGATCATCTGCTGTGGTGGAGAAAATGCAGAGGTGCTACAGTGCCCGGCATTAGGAGAACTGTGGACCGTCCAATCGAGGACGGATGGACAAGATAAGGCGATACAGTAAATCTGCACAGTACTAAACAGTGACGCTGCAGTACTGTCATCCCTGTAGTTACAGTGAATCACCCCTGTAGCATCACTGTTATGTGCATTGGAACAATGTTCTCCTCATATATTACTGTAGCTACAGTGTTCCTCTGCGGTAATGCAGAGGATCCGAATCCATAAAATCTATAGTAGGGTTGAAATAGTAACGGGTACTGGAGCATTTTTGTCCAAGGTACAGCTAAGAGATTGACTTGACTATTTCTATACAAGATATGAGCAGCTAATATGCCCAAAAAGGTCAAAGAAGCATGAGCCAGTGGAGTAGGATGCAGGAGTAAACACCAAGCTAGACAACTTGAAGATGATGAGTTCCTGTTTGGAGTCATCAGTTGTGGGACTAGCACACATGTTAGTGCCGCGCTGCTAGCTTACAATGCCTAATTAATGTCGAGAACTTGAAATGACATCTCCAATAATGGTTAGCATTTTGACTTCACTTAAATAATGCTACCGCGGTGCTATACAACACACACAGGCTGGATCATTCAAAAGGTGATTGAGTTGACTGTTATGTTCATGTGCGCGTTCAAAATGTCGAATGGATCTTGTACGGATCAAAGTACCAAAAATTTCTCCAGATAAAAAAGGTAATTTGAACGGGAATAGTAATGATATTTTCCTAAAATAATAAATTTGTAATAGCATGCATCGAATTTCCCTTAAAGTCATTTCCCTTGTTAAATCAGAAATATTTTTAGAAAGGTCAGGGGAGTTTCCCCACTTGAATTTCATAAGAGGGGGGACTAGACAGTTTATTAGAGTCTAACTTATCTTAAATAAGAGGAAAGAGTTTCCTTCCATGATGAAACAAATTAAACACTCTATCATCGCTATTAAGACGTTCCGCCAAGATAGTGGTGTCCTCTAGGCAGTTCGTCACTAATATCCTCAGCAAAGATTGCATCCCGTGGAACACAACATCATGTTCCAAAGGCCCCCAAAACAAAGAACATAAAAAACTTGGAAGTGTTTTCAGGGGAGATTTGGCGGCCGTTGCAGACTCACTAAATCAATCATGCTGGTAATCGACGGTTGAATCTGCATTGCATGCTAGAAGGAGCGAGCAAAGGAGCATTGTATGCAGATGTAGAAAGTTGTTTCATCCTCCTGATTGCAGAGCTCACAGATCGGTATCTGCACAATTTTCTTCTCGTGAAGGTTTACCTTCGTGGGGAGGTGCTCTTTCGCTAAAAGCCAGGCATAGAATTGGATTTTTGGAGGAGCTCATTTTCTCCAAACAAAAACCCACTTAGGGCACCTCATCCTCGATGAGTGAAAAGTTGCATAAATTTGAATGGAATTCAAAATGCTCCCTTGTACCCCTCCCCGGACTCGCCTATTGTCTTGATTAGCACTACGTATAGGTAAATGAACGACTTTTTACAATAAATTTTCATCAAAATTTCTTTAGAAACCTTTTTAAATCAATATTTTAATATTTAATTCATTTCTTTATACTCTCGTTATTGTCAAACTCAATTTCACCCTTCAGCACTTTAAGAAAAGGAAGCCCTTTTTCCATTTAGAAAGCTTGAATGAACCCAACCAAATCTCTTTGTACAGGTTGGGGCTCTTTTTACATTTATTCCGTCACCGTTTTCCCCTCATCTCCCGAGCTAAAAACCGCTCAAACCCGGACATGTTTATACATGCGTCGACGGATTGAAGGTGAGAGAACCGGAAATGCCTTCTCTCTCGTGGTATTCACATCGGAAGATCAGAAAGAAAACCAAAAGAATATATATGAGTGGAAAAAGAAGATTGCTCTTCGAGCTCTCCTTAATTAATCCGATTGCTCCTCCACTATGCTCTCGAGCTGCGGCCGCCACACGCCGACCCGACTGCCGCTCCGCCGCCTCCGCTGGCCACCCGACGCCGCCGTCTTCTCGGACAGAAGCTCCCTCAGGTAGTTGTCCTGCTCCGCCGTGCTCGCGGCCGTCGCCGCGCCGTTGCTCTTGTGATGGTGGTGGCTCGGCCGCTTGCTCTTCTTGTTGGAGCTCTGCCGGCTCTTCTTCCTCCTGTCGGCCGGCAGGGTCGCCGAGGGGATGAGGAAGTAGATGCGGCCGCGCTTGAGCTCGGAGTCGGGCGAGACGATGACGAGCTTCTTGGTGGGGCACCCGACGCCGGCGGAGGACCACGTGGTGGTGAGCGTGTGGTTGGGGTGAGCGGCGAGGACGGCGCCGGCGGTGACCGGGCAGCTGAACTCGTCGACGTGGCCGCTGAGGTGGACGATGCGGACGACGTCGAGCGCTCCGCAGGGGAGGACGCAGGCCAGGCAGCACCGCAGGCTGTTGCCCATGCCGGAGTCGTCGTCGTCGTCGTCTTCAACGGCGGCGAAGGTGCTCGATCGCTTGTTGATTGGTTGCTGTTTTGGTTTTCTTGTGAGCTTGATGGGAGTGGCACAGGAGGCTGACTAGCCGTGCGTATATATAGCGCGCCAAGTGGAGATGGGGCGCCATCACAGATCATAACTATCTCGGTGGTTATTAAATAGAGCAATGCTACGTTTACACACAAGTGTTACACGGTTTGGACTATAAGATTTACATGTTCCTAATACAAGTGGAGTATTATGTTTCTTTATACTCTTTTCGATCTTGAAAACAAATTGTTTGTTTATTTATAGGGTTTTCAAAATAAAACATTGATTACCTTTTCCAAAATAAAAAATAAATCATTGATTACTAATTTCTATTTCAATATCCAAAACGACACGTTCTTTTTGGTTCACAGGTTTATGGTTTCTCACTCCAAAGAAAATTTATATGATTTTAGTTTATCCTATGAGTATTTCATGATCCTTGACTCCCTGAGAGTCAATTAGTATGTTCGATAACTCGATCCACGAAGAGGAATAAACCTCCTGATTAGAGTAACATTTTGAGGTAAATGTAACTTCGAAGGACCGAAAAATACTTCTAGTAAAGGAAATTCTTATATTGAAAGTTGTTTACGATTCTTCGACTGCAGTAATGTATTACTAACAAACATAATATTTAGAAACAATATTCAGCACACTATCAATTTACTGAATTCAGAGTGACTTTTACAATACCATGACAAACAATTTATGGCATGTTTGAATGAAAATTCATACTGTTATACTCCATAAAAAAACATGCAAATGTTTTTTTTCACTCTGCAGGCATGTTGAATCAATAAAGGGCAATGTGCCATAACAATGTTATTCTTCAAGGGTAATTATTTTGGTTCAATTTATAATATTATTTGTAAATATACCATATACTTAAGCTTCATGGACAGCAAACATGATATGATAGTAAATCAATTTTAAATTACAATTGAGTTCACCAATAAAGATTTGTTTGTGTTTTTTCAGCAGAAGAGCGAGATTTTTGCCTTTTCAAAAATGAAAATGATTTTTCAAAAAAAAAAGAATAGCGAGATTTTTTTTCCTTTGCAATGTTCTTTGGGAGTGTGGATCTAGCAAAACCAACGAAATGAAATACATCAAGCATTTTTTTTCTCAACTATATCTAGGCTGTAGGCCAAAGAAATGCCCTAGTGCATCATGTTCTCTGGGCCATGCAGGGTTCGTTTAAGCTTTTTTTAGTGCTTTGCTTCACTGGATATGTGTTTTCTGCTTTCCCATAGATTCCTTTGGAGGTATCTATACTAAAATTTTCACTAGCAATCAAAATACCTACTAGATGTCAGAGTGTTAGATCATTACACAAATTATTTGAAATATTGGGATATCAGGATGGTCATGGTCCTGTGTCTTACTCAGGAAGTTGCCACGAAACAGCACTTTGCAATGATTAGCACTAATAATCCCCCTTGCATTATCTGTAATGATTCTCGGGGAGAACATTCCTAAATCCTAGTAATGGCTAAATAGCATGGGGAAGAGGATGATCAAGATTCAAGAGTGCGCAGATTAAATCACATGACGTTCTTATGATGAATATGGCGATTACCGAATTTTCTTTTTGGCACTTCCTTACAAATTTGCCACTTTACGCCACCTTTTGCCTCATCCTTATGATGTATCAGATCCTTTTGCCACTTCCTTATGATGTATCAGATCTTTTTAAAAAATATAAGAAAATCTTTACTGGTAGAGATCTGAAAAATCTCAAGCACCAACTAGATCGTTGTATGCACCCACCTCCATAGAACGGAATACATATCATATGGGAAAAGTAGCTAGATTGAGCTTCTCTTTTATCAAGACGGCATTGGTTTCTTAATTTTCTTTCCTTTTCTTTCGAGGAAGACATTAGGTTATCAGGTCCCTATTATCAATTCGAGTTAAACAAATAAACAGCCGTAGCAGTTAGGACCGCCTTGATCTTGAACATAGTAACTTAACGGGAAAAGAAAACAGAGCTAAATTTCACAGCATTGTCAGTAACAGATGGCATCGAAATAGTACGCGCAACAAGGAATAATTCCAAACATACCTGGCACGAATGGAGAAGCTAGGAACAAAATTTTCAGCCAAAAGATGCCACGATAACATTCTCACATTCCCCAGGCTGTAGGAATCCCAAAAACGTCGGGACTCTCCGTCGTAAGCTGTGTTTCCACGTTAAAATTAAAAGTTTGACTAAAATTAAAAATTTGAAGAAAAAAGTTGAAAGTTTACGTGTGTAGAAAAGTTTTGATGTGATAAAAAAAATTAGAAGTTTGAAAAAAAAAAGCTATGAACTAAACTCGGTCGTAGTCCGGGTGTGGCTGTTGCTGCTGCTGCACGGTGGCGGCAAGGCACGGCACGGCGACCGTGCGACGGTGCAAGCAAACCGGGGTGCATATCCCCCTCGCCAAACCGCCCAAATCCACAGTAACCCCGGGCACCGAGAGCGCTGCACCCCCGCGCACCAACCGTGCGCCACCACTTGCCTAGTTGCCTCGCCTGGTTGTTGCGCGAAGCGCCCAAGCGCACGCGCTGCTGCTGCACGGGCGGGTCTCCCAGGGCTCGGGGCTCTTCAGGCCGCGCGGCACGCGTGCGGCCCGGGCGGGGGAGCAGCCGGGATCTGGAGACGCACATCATCACGTCGCCGTGTACGTACGCGACGCGAGATTTTCCCGTTTCCGTCCGGAATTCCGACCGTAATCTTGCGTGCGTACGTCGTCCCAACTGAGCCGGATCCCGTGCAACCCCCGTTGTACGGGGGCGCATGATCGATCTCCTCGTCCAGATCCCACACGGGCACACGCCCCGTGACAGCTGCGTAACCGTGTTCGTGCCATCTACGTGCGGCTAGCCGCTACCCCCCACGTCCAGAATCCAGATACGTGCATGGATCAAACCTTCAATTTGGCGTATAGAGTACTATTATTACTACTAATCCTCCTCTAACCTGTCAGGCCGACGCAGCGGAGGCGTGAGTGACAGATGGACTCATTGAGCGTTCACGTGCGCCGGGGTGGTGGTGGTAGAGCTCCCGCAGCTGGGGACGAAGCAGCCACGAAGCTTCGCAGGGCGCCGGGAGCTGGTACATTAATCCAACCGCACCTGCCGTACCGGCACCGACCGCCTCGGCATCCGTCCAGCCCTCAGAAATACGAGTATTCATTCGGGATTTCGGATCAAATCCACCGTTGGCTCTCCCGAAGAGGGTCGAATCCATCGACTTGGTCAGCGAGCCAGGCAGGCGCTGCGCTATTCTATCCGCATCGCCTGGAGTAAACTGCTGGGTCTTACATGTGGCACCGGCGCTGGCAGGCTGGGCAACCAACCTGGCAAGTGTCAGAGACGGGAGAGAGCACCGGCGTTTGGCCCCGTCTGTCACGCTGGCTAGCCGTGGGTATATCATGTGATCTGAGGCTGTGTGTAGGCCCTGTTTAGTTCACACCAAACTTCTCTCAACTTTCAACTTTTCATCAGCCTAGTTTCTCTCTATCCCAAACTTTCCATCACATCATATCACATTAAAAACTTTCCTACACACATAAACTTCTAACTTTTTTTTTCAAACTTCCAACTTTATTCAAACTTCTAATATTTTTCAGGAACTAAACACACCCTGAGTATCAAGTGCTCTTGTTTAAACCATATATGGGGCCGGTTTAGATACTCCTACTTGGCAAGTTTTTTCACCCTATCATATCGAATGTTTGGACACATATATAAAATATTAAATATAAACAAAAAGAAAAACTAAATACATAGGTTGCGTGTAAATTATAAGACGAATCTTTTAAGCCTAATTGCACCATAATTTGATAATGTGGTGCTACAGTAAATATTTACTAATGACGGATTAATCAGGCTTAATAAATTCGTCACGCAGTTTTCAGGTGGATTCTGTAATTTATTTTGTTATTAGAGTATGTTTAATACTTCAAATGCGTATCCGTATATCCAATGTAACACGGTAAAAATTTTCACCCCTAGATCTAAACACAGCCATAGTAGTACTACTCCCATATCAAAACTCACACTCGTCCTGTCGTACAATTGAACCGAGCAGTGCATGGACTTTGGGTGGGGTAACCGCTACCTCACGGTTTGGTGGTTACTACGGTAACCGTATGATTATCGTGAGGTATACCATAATTTCAAAAATTAAAAAGGTTACGGTATACCATAACTGTATGATTACCGCGCAGTTTGGTAAACCCTGCTTGGAGGAAATACAGATACGAGTATGTATACTCTCTCTGTTTTTTTTTCTTTTATTCGGTAAGGGTTCTACACTTGAATTGGCTGAACTGCTAAAGTGTGGGTATCTGGTACCAATTGGATTAATTAATGTATATTTGGATCACCGGTTTTGCCCTGTAAGACTTTACCATATTTTTGAAATGGATTATTTGCTTCACATTTAAAAAAAATACACTTTCTTACAACATTTTCATGTGCTACATTGCTTGGATCACTTGTTTTAAACTATTTGTTTGCTGAGTTTATTTATCAAAATATTTAAGTTATTTTTATAATTAAGTAGATAATATGTAGTTCAATCAGCTCAATAATGGTGGTGTTTGAATCTCCTGAAGATGAAGATTAAGTGTTTCACATAAAACGAGATGGTAATAACGTGTGATTAATTGAGTTTTAATTATTACAAACTTGAAAAATGGATTAGTCTGACATTTTAGAACAACTTTCATATAGAAATTTTTGCCCGAAATACACCGTTTAGCAGTTTGAAAAACGTGTCATTTTAATACAAAAGTTTATCCTCAAATTTTAGAGGAAACGAACAGGGCCATTGGATATTGTTATAAGTTCAAACTAAGCCTTCATCTGGATATTGTTTTTCGGTGGTCCAGAGATCGAATGGTGAGGCAGCATATTTAGGTTCTTGGAAAAGATGAATATTGCTGAATTCCATTTGGAGATGGATATCGCTGCTTTGGATGGTTGGGACTAGAGAACTGGATTCCCCTCGCAACAGCCGGAGGGTGATGGACGTGGTCTTGTTTGATTATTCGAGTTTGAGTAGTATTGAGTATTGATAGGATAAAAGCCCTGCAATGTATTCTCTCCGTTTCACAATGTAAGTCATTCTAGCATTTCCCACATTCATATTGATGCTAATTAGCATCAATATGAATGTGGGAAATGCTAGAATGACTTACATTGTGAAACGGAGGGAGTACATTGCGCATCAATATGAATGTGGAAAATGCTAGAATGACTTACATTGTGAAACGGGGGAAGTATTTGGAATTTTGGATGAACAATCAGAACTTATGCTCGAGACATCACCATCTCACAAAGTTAGGGCATCCACATTATGGTGCAAAAGTAGTACATAGTAATATAATATTTCATTTTGCCACCTATATCATTGTAAACTAGTCTATATAAAAAAATAACGAAAGAAATCCATATGCACGAGGACTACCCATATAAAATAAATAATATTATCTATCTCTACTTCTTCTAATACTACCTTATTTATATGCGTGGTAAGAATCGTTATTGTTAAAGTCCATGTATATAGGTCCCATCCATATGGAACACTTTCACCATATGCATTGGTGATCTCCGCTAGATTCATGGCTATGAGCATCAGCATAAAGATGTCTAAGGGTACTATGGCTGCATAGTGCAGCACTTGTTGAAGAAATGTAGAATATTCGTCTCTTATTGCTTGCTAGCTTATTAAAAATAGCTAATGATTGAATACAGAAACTTAATTTTAAAGTTAATTTTAGGTTTTCTTTTTAGAAACATGCTCTATTTTCTAGTATTAGCTTTTAAACGGACAATAATACATATATAAATATTCCATTCATAAATTATTAAGGATGTGTTCGGTTTGGAGGAATTTTTATCCATAGGAATAGAAAAAGTGGAGAAATATAAAGGTATGCACAAATCAATCCATATGAATTTTTTAAGAGGTATGAGTGGAACGAAATTTTCCCGCATTCTCTCTACAACTTGGTGGAAAAGGAAAAATTCCTTTGATTTTCCTATAAACCTGAAAAAATCCTTTAGCAATTTAAGAAATAAACCTGAAAAATAAACTATGATAAACAAACTCCAAAATCAATTCCAAAACTAAAACTAAGTTTTAAAATGTAAATTTTGGCCACAACTGATAAGTTAAAATGCAAATGATGGTACATTGCTACGGAAGTATCAGCAACAAAACATATCGTTAGGAATTGGAGAGAAATATTATTAGTGGGTAAACCAGAAGAAATACGCTTGGAAGCTGGAAACATTTCTCTCAATAGACAAACAAACAATCATATCCAGCCAATATTTTTAGCAGGGTAGCACAATTGGTGTGATGGTGAATAGTGCAATCCTGGTATCCCACCCCCTTCAAATCGTGGGTATGTAAAAAACAGAGGAATGGAAAAGAAAAGGAAGTAGGATTCTAATAGAAATACAAGAAAACGGAGTATTGCAAAGCGCACAAAAAAAAAAAGAATGACAACGCAAGAATCAAATGAAAGAGATAGACTTATTAAAGAAAATTTCAAGAGGTTAGAACTCTTGCTAAAATTCCTCCAAAATCTATATGCAATAAGCTATTCCATATGAATTTAATAGGAATTAGAAAGCTCCAATCCTTTGTATCAAAGACCAAATAAAAAAAATTATTATAAGATTTGAATCCTATGAAATTTTTACATTAATCCTTTTAGGGCCCCTTTGAATCGTAGGGTAGAAAAAACGGAGAAATAGGAAAAACACATAATTCTGACAGGAATTGAAGTGTAAAACAGATGATTGCAAAACACAGGAAAAATACATGAATGATCGTTTGATTGGAGCGCAGGAAAAACGCAAGAATCGGATGAGATAGACTCGAAGTAAATTTTTCAAGAGATTGGAGCTCTTGCTAAATTTCCTCCAAAATCCACATGCAATGTGCCATTCCATAAGAATTTCATAGGATTTGGAAAGCTTCAATCCTTTGAATCAAAGGGCCAAATAGAAAAATTTACTATTAAATCCTTTGATTCAAAGGACCCTTACCCTGATTATGTGGTTCGATTATGTGTACCTATAGCTGATGCAGATGACAGAAGCTATACTTTCTTTGTTACAAAAAATCCAGCCAATAGAACGATTAAGGCTGACACGTGCCAAACTGCCAATCCTCAAGAAAACATTGGATTCAGAATGAGTAAATAGGATGTGTTCAGAGGGAACTCCTGCGTGTAATTGTTTACGTGTTTCGAACTTGATTTGTTTCATTCACTGATGTACAAATATATACTCTCGAAGGGTTAAAATTGGCCTGGCCATAAAGATTGGGAAACAAAAATATCGACGAGCTTCAATCTGCCGTACGAAGTCTTTCCCGTATATATACCTGTACAGTATCGGGTGATCAAAACAAAAGTTGTCCCTGTGTTGAATGGCCACAATCAAACAGGCCAAGGAGTCATTGGCTATGTACGGTTACTTCATTGGCTGTTGCTTGTTGCTATCATCCATATTTTGTACTTCTGTTGTGCCACATTCTAACAGTGGCATGTCAGGTAGGTTTGAAATCTCTGGAGATGGCAGCTCTTTCTTACTAGTTTGCAGGCCTGTAGCCCGTGCAAGATCAATCCATTGCTGCATCGATCAAGCACAAGTGTCAGCAAAGAAACGGTAGATTGCAAGTCCTAACTTGTGTAATATATATGAAGTTGGAGACTACAGTAGTACTTTGCAGGGATTGATCCTATCAATGAAAGGTTTTCATTAATGTCCATGAAGGAGTTTAACAAATGTTTTATCAAACAAAAAGCTGATCAAGGACTACTTAGTAGTATTATACTACTACACTACTAGTGAATAATGAGAATTTCGCTCTTCATCTCAACTAGTCATATCCCCTGCACAAATATACGGTTAGACACCAGTGCATGTTTATAGGAGTTTTTTAGAATGCTTGCCATTTAATACTCCTTTCGTTTCATATTATAAGTCGCTTTGACCTTTTTAAAATCAAACTTCAAGTTTGACCAAACTTATAAATAAAACATAGCAACACTTATAGTACCAATTTAGTAAATCTAACATTGAATATATTTTGATAGTTTCTTTATTTTATATCAAAAATATTATTATATTTTTCTACTAACTTGATCAAAACTAAAGAAGTTTGACTTGACAAAAAAATCAAAACGACTTATAATATAAAACAGAAGTAGTACTATATAACTGTAGGTCTAGCAGCTCTTATCTATTTCTGCTCTATACATTAACCAGCCTGAGCACACAATTTAACTACGGAAAAAATCACGGGGAGATAAAAAGTGAAGAAACAGTCTACCTGTGTTCCCCAGTATGAATTAATTGTCCGTGAAACAAAGGACAACAAGTTAGCAAGAAGCGGCTGGTTATAGTAAGCCATCAGATATTCTCCTAGGCGATGCTCCACCAGACCAGCAATGACCTGAACATATATACTGGGCAACGTTACAAATCATTCTCAAAATTGAATGGGAAATGTTAAGTTGCCTTTATTTTCATCACAAATTACCGGTCAAGCAAATTCAATGGTGAGCTATCAATAGCATATGAGCTGAACTAGGGAGTTCACAAGACCACCAGTAAAAACATACAGATATAATCGCGGTGAGCTATTCTGTACCTGATATCGTAGATTTGCTGATGTTCCAAGGAAGCAACTATAAACAGTCGCCGATTTCCATATGGGGGTTCTTCTGCGCGCTGTTTCAACACTTGTAGAAGGTCTCAAAACTCGACGAGCAGCATACAGAACATCTGAAGCAACTCCAGCTCCAATACTAGAAATGAATCCCACACCAGCAAGTTTAATTCCACCCATCAGCACTGAGGCAAACCTCTGGTTTGTGTTCCAGCTCTGCCCCATAATACCCTTTTGAAATGCATTATCTGGAAGTGACCCTAAAAGTCCTTTGAGAAGCTCCAAACTCTCACCAGAACCATTATCACCTAAAGATAAGAGTGAAATGGTAGGAGCAGGAAGCCACACTGTAAAGAAGTCAACAACAGAACCTCTAATCGTATCAGTAAGGACATAGTCGATCTCTTCAAGAAACCTTCCTTTCCGTTTCTCATACTGAGCTATGAGAGTGGTGGTAATTGATATACCCTCTTCAATAGCTAATCTATGCAGGAATTTGGGATCAGCTAATAACCTTTCACGGAAACCCTGCATAAAATGATCATTTTTTATAATTTAACCATGGAACATCTCTATTATCGACATACCAGCATCATCAATTGACTCTTTTTTTTCTGATAACTAAGGAGAGCATATACTTCAAAGCAGTAGCATTTTGGTCAACCACTAACATAAATAAATAGAGATCTCGAGTAAAACTGTAAAGGGGAAAAGAGCAAAAGATAAACAGTGCGATGGCAGCTTACTTGGAATCGGTGAATCAGTTCAGCCATAACAGGATATTTCTCAAGGTCAAAAAAGTTTTGCAGTATCTCAGGAGAAACCACGCCAAGATCTATTCCTTTCTGAAGATCCTGTCATAAATTTAAAGCAGAATGTACCATTAGCTCAAATTCTTAGAGATAAGAGGGGGAAAAGGCTGTATTAGTAAACAAAAACTGATTAACTATACCAAGATCTTTTACACTAATTACTTTTAAAGGAGTTCAATTGACTATTCGATGAAAAAATCACTTGTTTTTACAGACTCTTCATCAAATATATGTCTCTCTGCCAATAGCTATACTTTTCCATTGGACTTAACACCTCTATGCACAGCATTTACAATTATTAGGTTATGTAACACCACAGATATTTGAGCAAGAGCGAGTGATACCTGGGGTAATGCTTCTCGCCTCCTACCAGCCGCATTCATAACTCTAGCAATTTCAGCACGGTCAAAGCAATTTCGACTGCATGGCTTGGCAGCAGAGTACCACAAGAAATCAGCTACAGGGATTTCACCTTCTCTCCTAATACCTTGCCTCTCAGGATTAAGAAGTACTACAACTTGTTTCTTCTTTTGCATCTTTTTAGATATTCTAGCAGGGACTCCAATTCCACGTGAACCATATATAACATGGCTTGAACCAGTTACAACAACAAGCATCCCTGAAGGATATCCATTAGTAATTTCTTTCATTATTTTTTGGGACATGGTATAGTCATCAACTACTCTTGCCTGTGCAGATAGGTACGAGCTTGGGCCAAATGGAGAGCCATGAATTGCTGAAATCTTGTCTATCAATGATCGGCCTGAGATGGATGTAAAACCAGAAATGAAGCCTGAGCCAGCTGGAGGAGCGTACAGCTTTCTTTGTGCTTTTGAAAGGCCTCTAATTCCTTCTGCTTGGACAGTTCTTGACACCTAGCCAGAAAATGGACTATATAATTGTATTTCAACCAAATATTGTAAATGATGAAAAGTAAACCATATATTTAGCATAATGCATATCAGAACATTTACTTGGGCATGGGAGAAAAGGAGGGTGGAGGGGGTTATAATAGGAGTCATTTTCTGGACATGGGCCAAAAAAAAAAGGTGTAGAACAGGCCCATATTCAGTTGGTAAAAACACTAGACTAACTATAAAATACAAGAAAAAACTTGCCAGTTGGAATGGTGTAATATCAATATAAAATGACTAAATTGCAACTTGTCTACAAAATAAGAATGATCAATAAAAAATACTGTTATGGCAATACAACTGAATTGATCACATGCACTATTTGGGGGCAATGTAACATATGGATTACCTCAAGTGGAGTTCCACAGGCAACAAGTTTGACTCCATTATCACGACAGTAGTTCAAAAGGGGTTCATACTCCTGCCAGCGCTCTGGTGCCCAGTGAGAAGTGTACAACCTTAAGTTGTTGCCATCAATTCTGAGCAAAGAATGAATTTTCATAAGGTAAGTGCACTTGATATTATCATAAGCAGCATTCAGACATTAATTCATGGCCATCCGCCATCATGCTTGCAATGTAGTAGGTACATATCAATTCTAGAAAATCCATTTGGGGTGGCCGGTTGGAACTTTTACAGTACAACATTTGTTTGGTGATGTTGCTGCAAGGCAATTTTAGCTAGTATTGTGGCAAGGTTTCCACAAAGTTTAACGCTACAATCTAATAGAGCCTTTAACGCTACAATCTAATAGAGCCTAAGTAATCTCAGAGCTCAACACAAACTACAGACTGACAAGTACTAACTGCACTTGAATTTGAAACGATTAGGACTCAAATCTCTAAAAACTCAAAGCTACAGATAAATCACAACAAGAGCCCATCCTGTATATAGTCAGTCAGTCAGTCAGCTAGATAAACTAGACTAATAAGTACAACTGTAGAAGTGTAGAACAAAGACCTCCTGTCCATGAACTGGTTGAGCTGCTCCTGGAGGTTGCACGGGAAGGCTTCGAGCGCAAGCGAGATGCTCCTTCCGGCCTCGGCGCACCGTGCCGCCAGCTTCCTCACGACCTCGAGCTCGAGCACCCTGTCGTCGCGGTCGGGCACGAGCTCGGCCTCGCCGAGGTACACCACCCGCGCGGCCATCAGCTTCTCCCACACCCTCCGCCGCGCGTCCTTCCCCACGGCCTGCGGCTCCCCGATGACCGTCGCGTCGTACACCCTCGACAGCGCCTCCGCCTCGGGCTCTCCCGCGGAGGTTGGAGCCGGAGCCGCTGCAGGGCCCGGCGCGGGCGACGCGGCCTGCTTCTCATCGTCCGCGGCGGAGGCGGATAGCGGGAGGGACTGGAGCACGGTGGAGGCCGCGGCGATGGAGGGGACTAGGAGGAGGAAATCGCGGCGGGATGCGGCGGCGACGCAGAGGCCACCGCGGGAGGAGGCGGCGGCGGCGGCGGGAGAGAGAAGCGGTTTTGGTGGGAGGAGGGGTATGAACCTGCAGGCTCCCGGGTTTCGGGTGGGCGCGGGGGGCAGCATTCTCCTCAGCCGGAGGCGCGGCGCCGACGCGCCGGCGGCGAGAGGAAATGGGGCGAGTCCAGAGAGGGAGCACGGAGCAGCTTGTGGTCGTTGGGGTAGAGTAAAACAGACGCGAAGACGCCCGTTTCCCCTCGCGGAGCCTCTCTGTCTCGGTGCACAATTTTGCAATTCTGATAAACCTATCCCAGAAATTACCCAGGAAAATTTTTTCACAGGAAAAGAATAGAAGGAACAGGTTGAGTGGAACAGAAATGGCTGCACTTGCTTGACACCACCATGCAGCTGCAGATGCAGCAGAAGTTGTACAGAGAATTGAACTTAAAATCTAGATTTTTTAGGGAATTTCTCGTGGTGGAGAACGGGTCTAATTTTCGATTTTTCATGGCAGAGATGGAGTGGTATCTGTCGCTCCCATTTTCCCCTTGTGGTACGGTTTTGAACTACTACAGTGCAAACTAGTGTACCTGTCATTGTAGAGAGCAATATGTAGTTTCTGTACACACAATAATGACACAAGGACATATCCGCTCATCGATATCCTCTCCTGGAACGTTCGTGGTTTGAACAGACCGGCTAGAAGAGCGACAGTAAGAGAGACGCTCTAAGAGGCTAAACCCCACATCACATGTCTTCAAGAAACAAAAATGAGCAACATAGACGCTAGGCTGGTAAACTCCCTTGGCGGGGGATGCTTATGGTCTTTTCAATTCAAGCCGGCGACAGGACCACTAGGAACAAGGGGCGGTATCCTAATCCTTTGGAATGAGGATTTTGTTGATATCAAAGACTTCGTGCAGAGAACCTACTCACTTTCGGCCACAGTCTCCCTAAAAGAATGTCAGACTACCTTCCTCATCACGGTTGTTTACGGGCCAACCAGGGAGAGTGCAAAGCAAACCTTCTTGAGAGAACTATGAGGCATCAAGCCATCTGACAATTCAAAATGGCTGGTGCTCGGAGACTTTCACATAATTTACAAAGCTTCAGACAAAAATAACGCAAACCTCAACCGCAGACAAATGCGCATTTTCAAAGAAACTCTCAACGCTTGCGAGCTCAAGGAGATTGCACTTCAAAACAGGCGTTACACCTGGAGTAACGAGCAAGACAGCCTGACCCTTGTCAAACTAAATCGTTTCTTTTGCAACGCTAGTTGGGACACAACCTTTGAGAAGCACCTACTGCATGCCCTCTCCACCTCGCTCTCAGACCATTGCCCGCTGATGCTAACTGAACAAGGAGAGGCCCCACGCGTGAAAACTTTCCGCTTCGAAAACTTCTGGATCCAGCTCCCAGGTTTCCAGGAGGTGGTGACAGAAGCCTGGTCAGCCCCCCAACCACACCATGAAGCACATCACATACTCTTCCACAAGCTAGGAAATACGGCAATAAGACTAAGAGCGTGGAGTAAGAAACTAATATCGCACGGGAGACTGCACCTCCATATGGCGCTCGAGATTATTCTCCAATTCGATATAGCTCAAGAGTCAAGGCAACTCAGCCAAGCTGAACTCGCGCTAAGAAGAAACCTCAAAGATAGGGTGATAGGCCTAGCGATCGTTGAAAGAGCTCGCAGAAGGCAGGCAGCACGAATCACCAATCTCAGAGAGGGGGATGCAAACACAAAATTCTTCCATTTGAAGATGAATGCAAGGAAGAGAAAAAATTTCATCCAGAGGCTACGAGTGGGAAACATGTGGAAATTAAAACACAACGAAAAAGTTGCCGCTCTAAAAGAGCACTTCCAGACCTTCATGGCGCGCCCAGGCCCACGTTCAAAAGATCTCGACTGGGACGTCCTGCAGCTACCGACTTTCAACTGCTCTGCAATCAGTGGTCCCATTACTGAAGAGGAAGTCCATGCTGCGCTAAAGCAGTCCCCTAGCGATAAAGCGCCAGGCTCGGACGGCTTCACCGGAGCCTTCTACAAAGCTTGTTGGGAAACGATAAAAGGAGACATCATGGCGGTCATCCATTCCTTTGACCAGCTGCGAAGCAACAACCTCCCGATCCTCAATTCGGCAAATGTGGTGCTCATACCAAAAAAAAGAAGGGGCAAAATGCGCTGGAGACTACAGGCCAATCAGTCTCATACATGGAATAGGAAAGCTAATTTCAAAAGTGCTCACCTTGCGTTTGCAACCCCACATGGGGACCCTGATCAGCCACACCCAGAGCGCCTTCATAAAGAAAAGATACATACACGACAACTTTATGTATGTGAGAAACCTGACGAGAAAATTCCATCAGACAAGAACGCCAACCCTCCTGCTGAAACTAGACATAACCAAAGCTTTCGATTTGGTTAGATGGGATTACCTAATCGACCTTATACAGAGGAAAGGCTTCACATCCAGATGGACTAACTGGGTCTCAAACATCTTAGCCTCCTCGACAACAAAGATCCTCCTCAATGGATGCCCAGGATCGCCTATAAAACACGGAAGAGGTCTCAGACAGGGCGACCCCCTTTCACCGCTGCTCTTCATTCTAGCAATTGACCCACTTCACCACCTTCTAGAGAAAGCAACGGAGCTAGGGCATCTATCCCCCCTTCGAGGAAGAGCCCCCAGGTTCAGAACCTCCCTCTATGCGGATGATGCGGCCATATTCGTGAACCCAAGTGTCCAAGATATGACAGCTCTCACCAACATCTTAAGTGACTTTGGGCATGTGACCGACCTCTGAACAAACATGAGCAAAAGCCAAATTGCCCCAATCCGGTGTGATAACATTGATCTCTCCAGCATAACTAGGATCTTCCCAGCGGGACTCACAAACTTCCCAATGAAGTACCTTGGTCTACCTCTCGTGGTTGGAAGACTCAAGAAAATCCACATCCAGCCCCTGAGGGACAAATGTCGATCGCGTCTCGCCCCGTGGCAAGGGAAAATGATGTCGACCGCCGCTAGAATCTGTCTGACAAAATCAGTCCTCACGGCACAACCCATCTACCACCTAACATCTCTAAAACTGCCAGACGGGACCTTAGAGGAGTTGGACAAAATAAGGAAAAAATTCCTATGGGCGGGAGGCGAAAATATCTCAGGGGAAAAATGCAAAGTCAACTGGAAAAGAGTCTGCAGGCCTAAAGATTGGGGTGGCCTGGGTGTTCTGGACCTGCAACGCTTCGCATCAGCCCTCAGACTTAGATGGCTTTGGAACGAATGGGTGGCGCCAGACAAACCTTGGGTGGGAACTGTGCTCCCATGCAATCAGCTAGATAAAGACCTCTTCGCGGCCGCAACAACAATAACGGTGGGAGACGGCAAACTGCGCGCTTTTGGAGCTCGAAATGGTTAGATAATCAAACGCCGCAACTGATCGCCCTAGAGATTTTCATGGTCTCCAAAAGAAAAAACAGAACCGTGCAAGATGCCATTTCGGAAAACAACTGGATCCGAGATATTGACATCTCCCGTATCGCTGAGGCGAATCAACTCCAGCAATATGTCCACCTTTGGATAATGATCAGAACCATGCGGCCGCTCAACGAAAGCCATGGTAGCATCCGTTGGAATCTCACAGCAAATGGACAGTACTCCGCAAAATCGGCCTATCGGCTGCAGTTCCTCGGGGCTGCGAAATCCATCTTCTATCAGTCAATTTGGAAGGCATGGGCACCTCCGAAATGCAAATTCTTCTCCTGGCTGGTCACTCAAAATAGAGTATGGACGGCGGATAGACTGGAAAAAAGAGGATGGCAAAACCAAAAGACTTGCCCACTCTGCTACACCGTCGATGAATCGGCCTTACATCTCCTAGCCAAATGCAGACTCACAAAGAGGATATGGACGGAAATTCAAAGATGGACCGGGACTGACCTCCAAATGGACAATTGGGAAAATTGTCACTCGGTCGAGCAATGGTGGACTCTCGTAGCGGAGTCCCCAAGCACCCCACGCAAGCCTCTCAGGACTCTGGTGATTCTAATCTCGTGGGAAATCTGGTGCGAACAAAACATAAGAATCTTCCGCAACAATGCGTCTGCGCCGTCCTCAATTTTAGCAAAAATCAAGGAGGAAGGCAGAGCATGCGTCAAAGCAGGGGCTGCAATCTTACAAGAGTTTGGAATCTTGGAAGATATCACCTAATCCCTGCTTTTTGCCTCTTCTTTTACGGGTTATTCTTTTTTCGTCTAACCCTGTATATACCACGCTATAATTTTCTCCTGCTCTATTAATATATACAAGGCAATGCTTTTTGCCTTTCCTTCAAAAAAAATAATGACACAAGGAAGGCTGGGAAGAAATCTTTCATCGAATTACAGGTTCGGAACCACCGGTAGAAACTGACAAAATGATACTTACGTGTAGGGGGATAAGCAGCTGATGCCGATGGCTATGGGCCCAAAAGGAGTCGTCAGGTCATCGCCACGATCACGAGCCGCACATACCACAGGCTGAGTCGTCGCGAGCATGCCCAGTCAGCAGCCTGCTGGAATGGGTGGCTCACCTTCTGCAGAAACGTGGCTCGTTCTGCCTGGTGAATGCCCAGCATAATATCGAGCCAAACCGTTGCACATCACAAAAACCATCCAGTACTCTCCTACGTAGAGGAAACAAAAAGAAGTGGATATGGCAACTGGAGTAGCTGGCAGGTAAGTGCATGCGTACAAATATGTTCGGAGACCAAAAAGAAATCTTCATGTATGTGGTTCTCTCAGGAACCAGAAAATTCCAGCTAATCTAGTTTCGTGTACAGAAACTCAACATTACATTACTGTAAAGCCCAGGGTGGAAAAAAAAAGGACTGGGAAAAAAAAACAGTTGTGTTGGTTTGCTGATCATTTGATTCTCTTTCCTAGAAAATTCTGCTATACGCCTAAACAGCCGGAGATACCATCTCCAGAAAAATCACAGATCCGACGCCCTTTGGATGGAGGGAAGTGTGACATCTCTGTTTATAGTCTATACTCTATACCACTGTGTTGAGCTATAAGACGATTTCGAATTCTGTAACTGATGTTGATCTGCAGATAAAAGGCTAAAATTCACATGCATATTTACATCCTACTTCAGCTGCCCTTGCCTGTATATCCTGTGGTTTCTTCTGCTACCTTTGTCCATATACTAGAAATATGCTCTGAGTATGAAACCTGCATCGCAGAAGAACAATGATGCAAGTTTTAATAGCTTTGTGGTTACTGCATTTACTGAAAATATGAAATGTGCTATTGATGTCAATAGTATAGAAGGAAATTTTGAAAAAGAAAAAAAGAAAAAGAGAGAGAACATGAACGGTGAACCTGATGGCAATGAAATTGCAAACTCTCTTCTAGAGAAAAAAACACAGTAGCCCACTAAATCATTTTTAAGCATAGTGACCACTATGGAACAAATTATGCTGTAATATCAACAATGCCAATTTGACCCCTCCTCTCCATCATCTGAGGTCACTAGGTGTGCATAGTTTGGGAAATGTCTAGTTGTTGCTCTAGGAATAGGATCACCAGCGAAGTCAAAAAGAAGAATAGGTTTAAATTGACAAATGCAACCAAAGCTGAGACTGCGATGAAATGAAACAACCAATCCTAAATGGATAGAGATGCAGACTTCAAAGTTGTGCGAGGTAAATTTCATACCATCATGGTTACCAGTTGCCACAACAGATTTCAAAGTGTTAGCTTTGCAGATTGACAGAAAGGAAGCAACTAGATATCATCCACTGAATTTAATTTAAACCAGATACTACATACACCATATGATCACAGTAACTCTCATTCCATCTCAGCACTAGCTAATACTCTTGGAATTTTGTTGGAATACAGAAGTAAGTGCATATTTATCATTTGCTTATCATTAATAGATTGAAAGGATCCACAACAGCAGACAAAAGAATAACATTGCAATTGAATTTTAGTGATTCTACCTGATTTCTTACAAAGCCTTTCAGCATCTCAACCAAACCATGGCGTTTTTCTTTGTTAAACCTTATGATCTCATTCATGTTGTTTTCCTGCATTATAAGAAAATGTTAAAAAGTAAACTCCAATATTTTGACAATAACCCAAAAGGAAACTACCCCGATATATATAGTTAATGAGTTGAATGACAGGCTCAACCATACTCCAGTATTGTCATGACATCACAGGTTCCACCTGGAAAATAAACCTCATACAGGTTTTCCAGAAGAAACCAGGTCCCAGTACACAGCATAGCACAACCAAGTCAGATATCATATCATCATCTTCTAAATTGCAGAAAGTTACATCGTGAAAACTTAAAGATCAGTACGTACGTAGCAACTCATTTGACATCAGAAACAATGGATGCACTCTGAATGCATTCACCACAGCTCAAAGCCTCTAACATGACCATTTTGGAACCAACACTCTTGACTCTTGTTCATTTCGAAACAATCGTACCCCTGCTGCTAGTGTTGACAGCACAGTTCTAAATTCATTGTGACCTCTTTAGAAACATTATGTTCCCTAATGAGCTAAAATTAGAATGAACAAGTGATGCACATGTAGAGTATGTGTGATGTTTCAAGCCATTTAAGTATTGCAAGGTACTGTGTTAAAAAAACAGCACTCTGTTACAAACGTAAACTGAACATACTACAGTCAGGTTATGCATCGATCTGCATGACAATTGATTGTATTTCTCTTCCAAAAGGACCAAAACAAAGAAATACAACAAACCGTACTGTAGTTGATTTTGTCATCTGAACTTATACAGTGACAACCTTGCATAATGCAGTTAAATATACAACAGTTATGAACAATAAGTCAACATTTAACTGGGAAGAATGATAAGTACAATGCACAAATTGTACACTCAATTTAATCCACAAGTTCAAGTGAATTACCTTGATAAGCTCATATTCCTGGCGTGCATTGCCTTTTGCATCTTCTGTTTTTCTTATTGTTTCTTTCAGTTCTTCAATCTTTTGGTATCTTAATCTTTCCTGGCCCATTCCTCTGGATGATACGGACTCAAGTTTTGCTGCCTGAGTATGCAAGAGAAATAAATCTCCTGACAGACTTTGCACACGAAGCAAAGCATTTGCGCGATCAGTAAATGCATTACGAACAGAAGTCATTGTCTCCAAGTATTCATAGATAGTGCCCTGTCAAAGCAAAAATAATATTATGATTCATGAAAAGAAATCATAAGAAGCAAACATTCTTTCTATTACAATTTCCAACATACCAGATGTATTTCAATTTTAGCATTTAGTTTTGTCTGTGATCTGCTCATGTTGATAACAGCATTTGCGAAATTGCTCATATCAACAGCTCTTTTTCTCTGAGAATTACATGTATCCTGCTCCTTTTCAAACTTTGCCAGCTTAATGAATGTCATTCCCAGTTGACCTGTAGTTGCTTTAAGATCATCATAAGCTTTAAGAAGAGCCTCTACCTACAAACCGCACAAACGAGAAGATCAGTTGCTGTGCTTATTCACATCACTGAAAATTTGTGCCACAACATATCTATTTGTTGCTCAACTCGCAAATTATAAGCATGCATGAGGAACTCTCTATGTCACTTGCTTCATTTATCCTGTCTATCAGCGATGATAATGTACTAATTATGCAGAAGGGTAAACTCTGTGTTTGTATGTGCTCTAGCATCCAGCTAAACCAGTACAAAACAAGCACAGTACCTGCTGAGATGCCGTCGTGAGATGCTGCTCGAAGTACTCCAGCTTGGCCTTGTGCATGACGAACTTTGCATCAGTTTCCTCCTCCACTGGAGGCGGCCTCACTGCCACCAATCCATTCGCCACCGTCTGCTTCAGGTCCTTAAACATCCCAAAAATATCTCTCCCAGGCTTTGCAGGCGCCGTTGGAGCGGTAACGGCGGCCGCGGACATGGCAGCACTCAACGCGGGATCCGATCTGGGTGACTCGCCCGCGGAGGTGGGAATGCCGCTTGGCTCAGTCAGGAAGTCATGGAGTTCGGCGCTGCGGCCGATGGTGGGGTGCGCGGCAAGGCGGCCGAGGTAGCGCTGGAGCGCGGCGCAGCGCTGGTTCACGAACTCATGCCGCTGCATGACCTGCCCCTCGACGATGCTCTTGTCTGGTCGCGCCGGGACGAAGAGCCCCCGGTAGGCCGCCGCGAGGCGGTCCGCGAGGGCGACGACGTCGCGGAAGCGCCGCCTCACGCGGAACAGGCCGCCGTCGGCCGCCCTGGTGGTGATGAGGTAGGAGAAGTAGCTCCCGGAGCCAGGAATGACCCCCGCTGCCCCCGCGGCCGGCTCCGCGTGCTTCTTAGGCTCGGAGACGGTGATCTGGACGAACTCCGGGGCCGCCTCGTCGGAAGCGGATGGGACGTGGGGCGCGGAGTCATCCTCGCCGTCTTCCTCGATGAACGCGTCGTGGTCGGCGATCGCGGTGGGAGAGGAGGGGGTGGAGGAAGGGGACGGCGGCGGGTGGAGCAGAGGGTCGGTGGAGGCAGCGGAGGAGGAATCGAGGGCCAGGTCTCCGTGGCCCTCGCCGGCGTCGACCACCGCCGAGGACTCGGCGTCGGCGCCCACCATGGCTGGCCCGGGCGGCGGCGGTGAGGATTGGGGGCGGGGGCGAGACGGGAAGTGAGATTCGGGGTGGAGACGTGGAGTCTGTGAGTCAAAGCCGGGGAAGGCGAGCGTCTGGTACGCCGCGAGCAACGCCACGCATTTTTCGTATCGTACACTCAATGCCAGATGGGGCCCAGGCAAGCATTTGTTCTGCTTCAGACCTTCACTACGAAAGATGGCCATTTTTGCGCTTTACTGAAGCTGAACTGCAGTTTTGATTGCACGAAAATTTCTGAACAATTTAGGCTGAATTCACACACTTTTCAAACCGCTAAGCGGTGTATTTTTTAAAAGAAATTTATATGCGAAGTTGCTTTAAAAAATTATATTAATCATTTTTTTAAAAAAAATAGCAAATACTTAATTAATTATAAGAAAATGCGTCGCTCCATTTTCTGTGTGGAGAGAATATGTTCCCAGCTCCAACGAACACAGCAAACGATCAATCCACATAGCAAAACGATCATAACTAAAGAAGTTCAGGGTCATACCCTGCGGACAGAGGATAGGTACTTCTTCCGTTTCACAATATAAGTCATTCTAACATTTTTCACATTCATATTGATGTTAATGAATCTAAACATATATATCTATCTTGATTCATTAACATCAATATAAATGTGAGAAATGCTAGAATGACTTATATTGTGTAACGGGGGAGTACTACGGAAGATGTGAATATTTTGCTGCAGCCATTGATTAAATTTTGTTACAAAACTAGCGATCGAAAATGCTGCATAACATGTTGCAGAGTTTTTTTTTTTTTGACTAACTACATGTTGCAGAGTTTCCAGATAATGTAGTAGTACTTCTCATCAACAACTGCTTTGTCACTGCATCCACCTCGTCATTGATCCAAAATACTAATCACATTGTATATTCAGTCGTACCCGGATGACAAGAGGACGCGGACGCCTCATCCAACCCCGATTATAATAAGGCGCAGAATTCAGCCATGGCATTTTTCTCTCCAACCTGCAAAGTCCAAAGCTGCTCTGTCAAAACAAAAAAGAAATCCCCCTGGCATGGCCAGAGACAACGCCACTATCATCAAGTGATGATCTCACTAATGATTGAAGTCAAACGGCATGTCCGAAATTCTTCTCAGATTGGTTGGAGCCTTGGAGGCTTTGAGAGTGGATCGGAGTTTGGTTGCTTTGCTTGAACATTTTTGTTGTTCTCACCTGCCCCCTCCTAACTCAGAGAAGAAGATGACTCACCAAGATAGATACGCTGACGCTTTGCAGGGTGGTCGACTGGTCGTCGTGGACGACGGCAACACGCCGGCGCGCCAAGTTAACAACCTACTACCCCCCTTGGTCCGTCCACGACGGCAAAAATGCAAACGTTTTTCTAAAGTTGGAGCTTGGTGCTTTTCTAGTGTCATTGTTCAGACTTTCAGAACAAGGTGTTGATGTCAACTGCAGAAACAAGAGACATTTCATTATCATTTCCCCCTCAATTCAATATTGCATCAGCAAGAACTTCATTGTTTAGGTGACGCTAATGCGATTTATATCTGGAATCGATGCCAATATGTTGGAGCAGTTCATATGAAGAAATGGAAATTCGTTTTACGAGCAGTTCATATGAAGAAATGGAAATTCGTTTTACGACGATTGATGGATGCATGTAAAGTGTTAAGTCTTAGCTTCCAAGCTCATTTGCAAGCCATGCATGCACACCCGCCGTCTAGAAAATGGGCTGCAATCAGATTTGGTGCCAATGTGTTATTATCAGAAGATTGATTTGGAGGATTTGTTGGAACAAATATTGACACTTGATATTATAGGCTAGCTACCAGTTCCAACTCCCCAGTACTAAGGTCAATACAATATGACTCCAATCAGATTCAGCAGTGGAAACACAAAAGGCTCACAGCTGAGCAGTGAGGAATTAATAATATAAAATGTGACAGTTAACTCCTAATCATTATAATTCCAAACTAAGTTCGCTTTGCCCACAAGTTTTAGCAAAGACGCAATTGACATGAAAAGGCACAAGTATTACTCCCTACTCAGCTATTGATAACGGCAGACTAACTGATACGACAGAGATGGTCAACAAACAGTCTCTAGCTATAGGTTTCGTCTGAAATCAGACAAGGTTCAAAAGGATGAATAGAACTAAATCACAAAGCAAATCAGTAGCTAGACTGCAAAACACCAATCCACCCTTAATTATCGTTTGCATGAGATAGTTTTGCTTCTCAAACCATGGGGTAAAAATGGATTAACCGCAACGACTTTGTCCCATTCAATTGACGGATTAACGGATTGGTAGCGGTACGAAATGGAATGTCTGTCTTTCAAACTCGAAGCAAAAGCTAAGTAAAGTAACAACCTAATCAGATGACACAGCACACAAAAATCTCAGAACCATTGTCCAAACACAACTTGACGCGTTGGCGCGTGCGAAGAAAGTGCTTAAGCTTTGTTCTGTGAAACCAGGGCGCCAACGGGGGCAGCCGCTGCTGGCCTGGGCAGGCCAGTGGGTGCACCAAACTATCTGCATAGTTGAACCTTGGTGACACGAACTCGACCTCGAGGCATGCATGCGTGAATGAGCATGTGTTTGCGAAAGTTTTCCCTCTACCACGCAAGAATCAAAACCTAACCAACCAACCAGAGAAGCAACATGCATGACGAAACACAACGAGAAATCGATCGTAGAACCATGTCCTTTTTGAAACGCTATATATACCGCGCCATCACTGTGGGAAGTTTCTCATCGCCACACAGAAACCTTCAGGGCAAGAGCTATAGCTAAGCTACTGTGTCACCCGTTCGATCGGTGAGCCGACGCCAGCACACGCGCCGCAACGTTTGCGCTTAGCCGGCATGGCGTCGTCCTCGTCGTCCCGGCTGCTCTTCCTCCTCTCGTGCAGCGTGCTCGCGCTGCTCGCCGGCGCCGAAGTGCACCATCATGAATTCATTGTACGTGCCATATATTTTCCTCTTGTGTCATCTTACTAGCTACGAGCACACTATTATTGCCTGTATATCTCGATGCACCGTTTTCTGTACGTGTAATTAATGTACTGGTACTGCTTTTTGTGTATGGATTATTGAAGGTTCAAGAGACGCCGGTGAAGAGGCTGTGCAAGACACACAACGTGATCACGGTGAACGGGCAGCTGCCGGGGCCGACGCTGGAGGTCCGGGAGGGCGACACCGTGGTGATCAACGTCGTCAACCACGCGCAGTACAACGTCACCATCCATTGGTACGTGTCGTCGACCCAACTACGTACACCAATCAAACAGCTAACGACTTCCGCTCCTGGTCGTCAACGGCGACGATTGTTGTTTTCTGCGCCGCCGGTCGAGATCTAGCTAGCTAACACATGGTGATCAACGCGCGCGTGCAGGCACGGCATCCGGCAGTTCAGGACGGGGTGGGCGGACGGGCCGGAGTTCGTGACACAGTGCCCGATCAAGCCGGGCGGCAGCTACAAGTACCGGTTCACCATCGAGGGGCAGGAGGGCACGCTGTGGTGGCACGCGCACAGCTCCTGGCTCAGGGCCACCGTCTACGGCGCGCTCATCATCCGCCCCAGGGAGAACAAGACCTACCCCTTCGAGAAGCCCGCGCGAGAAGTCCCCCTTATTCTCGGTCAGTCTTGATCCTTCCTACTTTTGTACACAGATCTGCATATTAACTATCAGATCAGTCGTCTGAACTGACACTGAAAATGTTGGCACTTGGCACGATGGACAGGGGAATGGTGGGACGCGGACCCGATCCAAGTCATCAGGGAGGCTCAGAGGACCGGCGCCGCGCCGAACATCTCCGACGCGTACACCATCAACGGTCAGCCTGGTGATCTGTACAACTGCTCCAAGGAAGGTAGAAAATCACTCACTCTAGTATGCGTGTTCTACCAGCCAGTGTGTGTGCGTCAGTGCGTGGCAAATTTACAGAGACATGATAACATGCATGCAGAGACCACGGCTGTCCCGGTGAAGCCCGGCGAGACGGCGCTGCTGCGGTTCATCAACGCGGCACTCAACCAGGAGCTGTTCGTCTCGATCGCGCAGCACAAGATGACCGTGGTCGGCGTCGACGCGTCCTACACCAAGCCGTTCACCACCTCGGTGCTCATGATCGCGCCGGGCCAGACCACCGACGTCCTCGTCACCATGGACCAGGCGCCCACCCGGTACTACCTCGCCGCGCGCGCCTACGACTCCGCGCAGGGCGTGGCCTTTGACAACACCACCACCACGGCCGTCATCGAGTACGACTGCGGCTGCGCCACCGACTTCGGCCCCTCCATCCCGCCGGCGTTCCCGGTCCTCCCGGCGTTCAACGACACCAACACCGCCACCGCCTTCGCCGCGGGCATCAGGAGCCCCCACGAGGTCAAGATCCCCGGCCCCGTCGACGAGAACCTCTTCTTCACCGTCGGTGTCGGCCTGTTCAACTGCGAGCCCGGGCAGCAGTGCGGTGGCCCGAACAACACTCGCTTCACGGCCAGCATGAACAACATCTCCTTCGTCTTCCCGCAGACCACCTCGCTCCTCCACGCGCACTACTACGGCATCCCCGGCGTGTTCACCACCGACTTCCCGGCGTACCCGCCGGTGCAGTTCGACTACACGGCGCAGAACGTCCCCCGCTACCTGTGGCAGCCCGTCCCGGCGACGAAGCTGTACAAGCTCAAGTTCGGCTCCGTGGTGCAGATCGTCCTGCAGGACACCAGCATCGTCTCGCCGGAGAACCACCCCATCCACATCCACGGCTACGACTTCTACATCCTCGCCGAGGGCTTCGGCAACTTCGACCCCAAGAAGGACGCCAAGAAGTTCAACTACGTCGACCCGCCACAGAGGAACACCGTCGCGGTGCCGACAAACGGCTGGGCCGTCATCCGGTTCGTCGCCGACAACCCTGGGGTGTGGCTCATGCATTGCCATCTTGACGTGCACATAACCTGGGGCCTGGCAATGGCGTTCCTGGTGGAGGATGGGTATGGCAAACTGGAGACTCTGGAGGCGCCTCCTGTTGATCTTCCAATGTGCTAGTGATCAGCATTCGGCAGATGATGATACTGCGTTAAGAATACAAAATCCCGTTCATGTCGTATTCCAAATTGATGCTTTTTGGGGGTTTATTTTGTGATCTCCAGTACTAGGGGTTGATTTTTCATCTTGATTTGAGCTTTCCCCTGTAAAGTTAAGAGTTTTTATGTGATTTCTATGCATTATTTTGGAATAAATCCTTTTTGTAGCAAGTGTTACTCAGATCACCATTGCAAATATGCAACATAGTACTGAAATGCGTCCATCGAAGGAGGAAAGAAATGTCAAAGGATAGTCAAGTAGTCATCATTTCATTTCTGCTGGAGTAGGAAGTACTACCAGTTACTATGGGGCTTAGAGTAGTCAGCTATAAACATATTTTAATGAAATAAACGATGAGAGAGAAGAGCAGCGGGCTACAGATTTGTAGCCAGCTGCAGCACAGACTCCAAGACGCAATGTGTGTATGACAGGTGGGACCATATATTAATAGTATAGTAAGCAACTATTGTATGAATTGATTATTAGATTTGCTATAGATGAATTAGAGCTAGTAGTGGGCTATACTATTGAACTTGCTCTTATTCCTAGGCAAGTTTTGGCACTACCAAGATTTTGGTAGTATAGCACAGTAATTATGAGTGTTTGGATTAGTGCCAATGAAGTGCCAAATTTTTATGGGTCAATTTCCATTTGGATTGGTACCAATGAAGGGTTACCAATTTTTTTTGTGGTGTAATAGATTTGGTACTATTTGCTGTAGAATAAGCACAAATAAGCAGAGCGGTGAGGCGGCCAGCCGAGGAGACGAGTAGTGGCTGGGTATTTATTGAAGTAGAGAAAAGATGAAGCCCTAGCCTTTTTTTTTGAACGGAAGTGCGTGAACTAGTTTGTGAACTAGTTTGGGCTGTGTGACCTGCTTCTGGGCGCTTCCGGCGGGCGACGGATGGCTACCAATTCCAGCCAATGCCTTGCTACCAAATTAAGTCTAGGCACTACCAGTGATTTGGTCACAATCCAAACTCTTAGTGTTACTGTTCTGATAACCAAAATATTGGTATGGCTCAGTTTTGGTAGCAAACCAAAACGGCCCAAACTTTCCATATCGCATTCTGTTGTCCGCTTTTGCACTTCTGTATGGTACTACTAGTGTTATTGACAAAGCTTATCCTTAGCTTTCTTCTGTCAGGAGTCATATTTCACAACCCATAATTCCTTCCCCACATATTCGTGCACAAAATATTCAGTGAGATTCGTGCACTGATGAACTGATGGCCAAAATATTCGACTGTGAAATCCGTTAAACAGAATATGACGAGCAACAGAATATGACGCCATAAATTTAGGAAATCCGTTAAACATATACTCCAACTCAGAGAATAGCCGAGAAAACATCTTCGAAAATGAGGAAGTCCTAAGAATATTCAACCCCAATCATTAGCCAATACTTACCTGGAAAAGAGTAAATAACTGGAAGACCCATGTGATATCGAAAAGTGACTAACTCCATACTGCAACATTAATGCAAAACTTCCATAGAGAAGCAAAATTCGTACTATTGAGTACTGACAATTAGTCAACGTTAACATCTGTCTCATTGTCGCTGGTGCTGTTCTAGCTTCCAATTTACAAAGTCAACCATTCTCACATATATTCAACATAAGAAGTCAATCAAGGTGTTGAGTAAGTCAAATTGAAAAAAAAAACTGCCATATGTCTTTATCATAATCCAATATCCAAAGGTAGTTCAAACAGGCAAGAATGATGAAGCACCTTCAAAGGTTAGACTTTTAATCTGCAGCATCTTATGAGAAAGTTATGCAGTGATATATCAACGAGAGACTTGCCTGGACTCGTACCATAAGACAGTCTAGGATTCACCATTGATCCTTAGAAGGGTAATGCAGAGGTATCACACTTTGTAGTGTTAATTTATGGTAATTCTGCAGATGAAAGGTACCACTACATATCTCAGGGGCCTACTCATTACTCAAGGATCGTAAAACACCAGTTAAAATATTAATTGCCATGTATATACAGCAAAAACATGTTACTGGGATGCTCTGGCAGCAAGTCAATAAGATATCAAAGAAGGTTTACCAACATATTTGACCAATGCAAGAAAACTGTAAGTTTCTCTATCCTACATGCAACATAACTGGAATAACTTAAAACTTTGCATAACTACTCAAATATTGAAGGCATTCACTGTAAAATGGTATTGAAGTTCTGGACATTCTAACCAACACAACAAACTGATAAGTGATACTCTCAAGTGTCCATACTTATTGACAACATAACAAACCTATAGAGTCCTACAGTTTAAGAATCACAGATATACATCCTTGCTGTATTACAATGCACTGGTTCTCCAAAATACTATGTAGTAAGACATGAAAAGCAAATATTGCAGTACAACACCAAAACATTCAGATAAAGCAGTGAATATAATAAAGCAGATAAATGCTCCAAATAGTGCAGTAAATAAAATGATCCAAACAACGCAGTAAGTAATTGAAGGACCATAAACTTGCTAAGGAGTCGGTGTACAGTTACTTGAAAGAACAGAGCACAAGACATACTGAGTTGCTGACATCTAACAATTCTTACCAGTCACCACTCAGATTCAAACTAACAAGTGAAGTACAAATCTAGCAGATCTTTGCATAATTCGAACCACATATTAGAAGGCAAAATATGATCTGCATATTCATAACTACTCACAATTAAGCACAAGCAGAGCGGCAACCAATTAGCTACAGCCGACGAACCAGATCCATGCCAATTCGTACTCAAAATAAATTCCACGAGCCCAAGAATCCTACCAGATCCTGCGCCGCATCAAACCCCAGATCCGGGCGCCCCGAGGAAGGAGAGCAGCCTGCTGGTAGTGTTGCCATTGGAGCCAACGCTCGGGTCGTCAAGGAAGAGGTCCTCAGGCACGCGGAATGCGCCGTGCACGGCAACGATCGCGCCGCCGACGAGCAGCCCGGAGATGATGAGCGACGCCACGGAGGTCATGAAGAAGGCCAGCACGGACGCGACGACGAGGCCGAGCAGCGTCTCGCGGTCGGTGAAGGTGCGGCCGAAGAGAACGACGGGCTGGTCGGCGGCTCGGAAGACGTAGAGGAAGCACCAGCCGCCGAGGATGGCGAGGAGGACGAGGAGGGAGAAGGGGTGCGCCAGCAGCGAGGCCGCGAGGGAGAACGCCACCACGGCGGCGTAGTTGACGCGGAAGTAGGCGAGGTTGCGGCGCAGCCGCGAGGTGGCCTCGGAGAGCTAGTCCGGCTTGGAGATGGCCGACCGGTCGACCAGCTCCGTCCAGGGCCGTCGGTCGGCGAGCGAGCGCCGCGCCGTGTCGGAGAACCTACTCACGAAGAGCCGGAACGCCGGCGTGGCGAGCGGCGCGTCGGTGAGCGCCGAGCCGGAGGACGGCGCGGAGCCACCGGCGGCCGCGGGGTTGGTCACGGGGAGCAACGGCTGCGGCGTCGGTGCGGCGGCGGAGGCCATGGCGTTTGTTCTGGGAGCGAATAGATTCGGGATTAGCCCAAATTTATGCCCGTCGATGGGTGGATCTGTGCCGCCTCCACTCTCCCATGAACCAACCTCGTTTCACAGTGGACTCGGGGCAAACTTGGGACCCACGCGTCAGCCTTTTCTTTCCGTTGTTTAACCCGTGATTTGAATCTCACCCTACCACGATTAACAATATCTTCCTGAGTGGGCCGAGACCTAACTCTTTTGGAATCTTGGGCCCTTAATGGACCGTCCCTTTTTGGCAGCCCATGTAGTTTTATGCCTCGATGTACTTTGCCAAGCCCAAGCGGATGTTGCGGGAAGGCAGCCCAAGTGCGATTTCCATAGTCCGTCCACCTCGGGTTCCGCGTCAATCACGCTAGCCCACCGGCGCCTTTCCGCCACGACGTGACACTCAAAACCCCGTGACCCTACATGTCAGTGAGTAATTAAAACCCTCGTCTAACCCACCGCTATCCGCATTTATGCTTTCCCCACCGCCCCATCCACCGCAAGTCTGCCGTGGTCACCGCGCCTTTTACTTTATCTTGCCCCCATCTCCACGGGCCTCATCTGACCGTCCATACGACAAGCTACGGCTCACATCCACCGCCCGCCGGGATTTACCGGCCCGACGGCGCGGTAAGTTCTGGAACCAACGCTGGCGATTAAGCACGGCGACACGGCGACACCCCAGTGAGCTCTCACAGTCCCTCGCGTTGTCGCTGTCCGCCAGAGCGCCAGACCACCACGGCGTGCACCCTCCGCAACCGCAGCCACACGGAGGAGCTTCGCGGCCGCACGCCGTGAGCCAAACCCTTGCCGTCGGGGCTAGGCCGCCGGTGGGGAGGCTTCGGGAGGTGGGGTCCTGCCGGAGCCGCCGATGGCGGAGGACGGCGAGGAGAAGCTGCTCGCCACGGTGCAGCACATCGTCAAGACCCTGGGCCGCACCGACACGATGACGGAGGATATACTGAAGGTCTTCTCCAACTACGACGGCCGCCTCTCGCTGGACAAACTCTACGCCACGCGGGCTGCGGCGGCGGCGGCGGCGGTCGCGGCGGCTGGAGGAGCGGGTGCTGGGGAGCACTCGGTGCCGGCGTCGCCGCCGATGCCGCCCCCGCCCGCGGTTCCCCCGGCGGTGGCGGCGATGCCGGCGGTGACGTCACTGGAGCGGACCGTGCGCACGCTGGACCGGCAGATCTCGCAGTTCGTGACGATGGATAGGCTGATTTGGGCCGACTCGGCGGACGCGGACGCGTTCCTGGAGGCGGTGGACGACCTAATCGGCACCGTGCAGGAGCTGGACGCAGCTGGGACCAACCGCGGGCTGCTCGACCGTGCCGATGAGCTGCTCAGCCGGTGTATGGCCCGGCTGGAGGATGAATTCCGGGCGCTCATAGAGCGCCCCGACGACGTGGCGCCGCCAGCGCCCGGCGGGTTCGCTTCTGATGAGAGCGAGGAGGAGGACTACGACGCGGACGACGGCTACGGCGATGAGCCAATCCCAATCGCCAAGCCGGTCTCGGACTTCGACGTGGTCATCGACGCCCTCCCCCCGGGATCGGTCTCCGACGTGCACCAGATCGCGAGGCGGATGGTGGACGCTGGCTTCGGCCGCGAGTGTGCCGAGGCGTACGCGGCCGCACGCCGCGGATTTATCGACGAGAGCGTCGCCCGCCTCGGCATCCGTGCCCGCACTATCGACGAGGTTCACTCCTTGCCGTGGGAGGAGCTCGAGTTCGACATTGCCCGATGGATCCCGGCCTTCAAGATGGTGTTCCGCATCCTGATCCCCAGCGAGCGCCGCCTCTGCGACCGTGTCTTTGACGGCCTCGCCCCTTATGGCGACCTCGCTTTTGTTGCTGCAGTTCGTACCCAGGTGCTGCAGCTTATCTCCTTCGGCGACGCAGTTTCTGCTGCTAGTCGTGCTCCAGAGCGCCTCTTCCGTGTCATTGACATGTATGAGGCCGTGCGAGACCTCCTTCCTGACCTCGACCCTGTCTTTGCTGATCCCTACTCTGCTGCACTTCGTGCCGAGGTCTCTGCTGTTTGCAACACCCTTGGTTCCTCTATCAAAGGTATATTCATGGAATTGGAAAATCTCATCCGACGTGATCCTGCCCGTGTTTCTGTTCCTGGTGGTGGCATACACCCAATCACCCGGTATGTGATGAACTATCTCCGTGCTGCGTGTGGATCAAGACAGACACTGGAAGAGGTGATGGAAGGTGACTTAGGTGCTGTTGGCGGGGCAGCTATTGCTGTTGATCCCGATCGCCCCACTTCGTCACTTGCAGTGCACATTGCATGGATCATGGATGTGCTTCACAAGAATTTGGAGACCAAATCTAAGATATATAGGGACCCGCCACTTGCATCCATATTCTTGATGAACAACGGGAAGTACATTATTCACAAGGTGAATGACAGTGAGCTTGGGGTTTTGCTTGGTGATGAGTGGATGAAGCAGATGATGAGTAGAGTGCGCCGTTGGAGTTTGGAGTACCAGCGTGGGGCTTGGGCAAAGGTCATGTCAGTGTTGCAGACGGGTGGTCCTGGCATTGGTAGTCTCCCTGCAAAGGCCTTGCTACAAAAACTGCGGATGTTTAATGGCTACTTGGAAGAGATATGTGCTATCCAGTCAGAATGGGTGATTGCAGATGAGCAGCTGCGCGAGGATGTTAGGGCAGCAATAACAGATTCTGTGAAGTCTGCATATATGGGCTTGATTTCAAGGTTGAAATCATCTCCGGAAGCTGCACAGGACTTGTTCATCAAGCATTCCCCAGAAGATGTCGAAGCACGAATCCAGCACCTGTTTGAAGGAGTGTCCAAGTGATTATTAGTTCATTATAGTCACTATGCTTCTATAGCTGTGATTTTGGTGTCATTGTTGCTGCTATGGTGGATATCTGAACACTGGTGATGCCATTATGTGTTTGGTGGCATTGTTCCATAAGGTTTACTTTTCATCTTAGATGAGAAAATTATGGGTTTCTTAAACTTTGTAAATTATCCTAGGTGTCTGTTTAATTATCAATTGGTAATGCAATCTAATTTATGATGTTATTGATATTTCCTTTTTTGGCTTATTTGCTCCTTAAGTTTTCACAAATGAAGTGTGATGGTTTGTTTATTTCAAATGCTTACTGCATTCAAGTGATAAGCACCTATATCATTCAGATCCACTAGATTTTAGCCAATTTATATTGCCCGGCTTTTATGATGGTTAGAGTGGTAAGAACTCTTTCATAATAAGCATGGCAAGCTAATTAGCCTTTTCCTCTTTTGGGTTTGTTTTCCTGATGAAGTGGTTCAAACATAAATCTTTATGTATTCCTTTATTGCCTTTATACTGATATTAAATGCCATTGTGAAATTAGCTCTCATGTTAAAGTTGTTGATAATTGTGTTCTATTTCAACAATGAGTTTTGTTGACCTAGAGTATTTTTTATTAACACGGTTGAAATAAGATCATGAATGATTGTGGTGGATACATTGAAGCATGATCTAAAGGTTGACTGACGTTCATTGCTCAAATGTAGAATTGAGGTTTCTGGTGGAAAGATGCTCTTAGGTGAGACAGTATGGAGCAGCCAAGTATGTTGCACTTATCTATCTTCCTTAACTATTAATATTACATGCTGGGCATGCTTGGTTGCATGCAAACCAACTATTCAAGGAAAATACTAAAATAGCCTGCTGAATGTATCGGGTTACACCCACTTACATATGCATTAACATATCTAGTAGCTGCAAAACAGGGGTACAATACTAGTTTTACATAATTTAAGAATGTCAAACGACAAACCAACAATCTAAGAAATTTATGAAAATGTATGAGGTTAGGTGCTAGTTTTGGTTGCTGCAACTATAGATGAGTTGATCTTTATTTTACATGTACATGGTACATCATGTAGAAAATTTTAACAGCTATCTTTTTTTTTGGGCGGGGTGGGTGGGGGTGGGGGTGGGACCGTTGGGATGGGGTAAGAACTGGATGTTAGGTAACCATAAGAGGAGGAAACCTGCTGCTCTTTTGTTTTTAGGACTTATATGTGCTGCTTGTCAATGCTTCCTCGGTTCTTTTTTTCTGTGGAATCAGTCAGTCCAACTGCAGTTTGCCTTTAAGTCTCAGTAACTTGCTGAGTTGGTTCAAACTTGAAAGAAAAGTCCAAATTCTATGGTTGCCAGGAAATAGTGCTTTGTGATTGTACTCTTCCATCGAACTGTTGGATGTTTCTGTCTTGACTTAACTTGATTGCGACCTGTCAACACACAGGTTTTATTATTTCTGAAAAACTGCTGTAGTTATGTCTACATACGCTCAATCCATTATTCCCCTATTACATCAAGCACTAATTTTCATGAAGAGCTGTGACTATAGTTATACAATCTTTTGCATCACCAATTTCAAAATTCGTCTTCACTGAGGTATGTTCGCAATTTCATTCATCCTAGTCAATTTTGTCAGCTGCAGATCTTTGGACTGGACTGCACCATCCTCTTCCATGGCTTGCACTGAAGACTCAAGAAGTTCATATATCCAAAGTTGCAGATCTGAAGGAATTTAATCTAAGAAAGGGTGATGGCTGGCATGGAGGATACTCTGCAGGCACTTAACGACCTGATTTCCCAATTTCTCTGCTTGAATCGGCCCCTCTGGTCTAGTTCTGATGATGCTGATGCCTTCTTAGAAGCTGTGGATGAACTAACTTCCACCATCCACAGCCTTGAAAGCATGTCAGCGGACCATATCCTCCTTGAGAGTTTTGACCATCTTCTAGAGCGTTGTTCCTTGAGGCTTGGAGAAGAGTTGCAGCACCTGATTGATGCATCTGGCTTCGATACCAACTGCAGCTACCCCAACACCAGGAAAAGCCATGATGATGATGATGATAGGCACACCCTTGTAGCCCAGCCAGTTAGCAACTTCGACATCATTGTTGATGCTTTACCTGAGGGCGTAATCTTTGAGGCAAACCGAATTGCAAAGAGGATGGTTGCCGCTGGTTTTGGTGATTCATGTGCTGAGACCTATGCTTCTTCACGCCTCAACTTCATTGATGAGAGCATTGCACGCCTTGGGGTTCATGCTCACATGGCAGAGATGTTCAAGTCAGCATCGTGGGAGGAGCTTGAGATTCAAATCATGTGCTGGATCCCTGCAATTCGTGTTGTGTTTCACATCTTGATCCCAAGTGAAAGACACCTGTGTGATAGCATTTTTGAGGGTTTCACATCCTACAGTGACGTTGCTTTTGTCACTGCGTGTCATCCATTTCTCCAACTCCTATCCTTCGGAAATTTTATTGCCGCTGCTGGAAAAAATCCAGAATGTCTATTCCGCATAGTTGATATGTATGATGCTGTACGTGATATACTTCCTGTTCTTGATGATGCTTTTAATCCTGAAGTAGCTGCTCTTCGTGAATGCCTCGGATTGTCAATTAAGGCCATCTTAATGGCTCTTGAAAACCTAGTACGACGTGATCCAAGTGAGTCTTGTCCACTAGATGGTGGAGTGCATCCAATGACAAGGTATGTGATGAACTACCTTGTGACAGCATGTGTTTCTCGCCATACTTTGGAAGAAGTGATGCTATTAGAGTTTGGTAGTTCTGATCCTTCTGGAAACTGTCCAATAGAACCTGATCGTCCAACATCATCACTGGCAATCCACCTTGCTTGGATTGTGGATGTGCTCACGGGAAATCTTGTTTCAAAATCCAAGGTTTATAGCCATGCTCCTCTCAGTTGTGTCTTCCTGGTTAACAATGGGATCTATATAATCAAGAAAGTCAATGGTTGTGAACTCAAGGTCTTGCTGGGTGAGGATTGGATCAAGGTAATACATTCAAAGGTTAACCAATGGATTTTGGAATACCGACGGGCTACCTGGGGTAAGGCTATCATGATACTTGAGATGGACAAAAGGTTTTGCAGCAACGTGAATGTTATTACAGAGAAGCTGAGCCGTTTTAACAACTTTGTAGAAGCAATTTGCCAAGTGCAGTCACGGTGGGTCTTGGTGGATAAGCAGCAAGGAGTGGATTTTAGCATTTTAGTGGAGGAGCTGGTAATTCCAGCCTACAGGGATATGGCTGAGATGTTGAAGGCAACAGGATCTGCAGGAGAGTCATATATGCGACTTGAGGATGTGAGATCACGAATTCAGCAGTTGTTCAAAGCAATGACCAGGTGAAGTGCTTCTTCTGGGTGCGTTGTGCTAATCTGTGTTATAATGTTTCTCAGGGAGACCAGCCTAAGGTGTGTAGCATCCTTGTTTTAGCCACTTGTATTATTTTCACAGTATGTGCTGTAGTGGTTGATGCTTTACTAATTGGGATCATGTGAACTCTGGAGTCCTAGAGCAACTAATGCTAATATACTACTGCACTGTTTTACCCAGGATTTATCTTCTTCTCCCTCTGCTCCATATTGTAAGACATTTTAGTTTTCTAAGTCAGACTTCTTAAACTTTGACCAAGTTTATAGAAAAACACACTATCAAGACATATTTCCTGGTAGATTTTAATGAAACTAATTTGATGTTTTAGATGTTGATGTGTTTTTCTATAATCTAAGACATTTTTTATTCAACACTGAATCTATCCCATTTATAAAACAGAGGCATAAAAAATGCACAATATGTGCCAGTTCGTTCTGGATCCATATGGTAGCTTAGTTTGTTTGTTTATTTTGATGGAATTTGCAGACCTCTCGACCTTTTATTTAGCGGAACCCTTGCTTCAACCAAAATGTTGATTTCACAGTATGGAAGATTTATAGAAAACTCCTTTCATCACTCTTACAAAGGGATAACCCTGTAGTCGTTTTGTCTCTATAGTCATCTCATTTTTTTCTTATCCAGTCAAAGTTTTATGTTCTTCATTCTATATTTCACCTTGTAAACAGTTTAAACCCATTATTGGGACTGCCAAGGATTACAGTGTGTCATACATAAGCATAACACGATTAATGGTAAATGTTCAAAGGGTTCTTTCTTGTTATATGGACTTAGTGCACACTGCACAGCAAAAAGAACGGGCAGAATGCATCAACATAAGGAATGAAATATTATTTGATAATTTGATTTAACTGAACTGTGGAATAGCATTTTTCAGTATGTAATCAGTTGTTATCCTATAGACCCTCTCTGTTGGGTGCACAGCATCGTAAAATACAAATGATGACTCGTTCCTGCAGATAGGGCTCAATGCATTGCACAACAGTCCGACTTCTCTGAGCCCAGTCCCACAACATCCTCGTGTTATCTCTATAAATCCTGTTATCATGGCAAACTTTGGTGAGAGCTGCTATAGTTACAAAAAAAAAACAGTACATGGAATAAGTAACTAAGAAATGATATTTCTGTCTCTTGCCATTAAATTGTTAGCTAGTTAGTTGTTTGGTTTCCTGTCAGCTTCTAGCTGTTAATTCCCAAGTTTAGCATTGTGGTGTTTTTAGTGTTTACCAAATCTGTTGTGGTATTATGCTTCACAACTTTATATGATATTACAAATGAATGCGTGTATTTGTAATGTAGTAAGTTACAACTCACGCCATTATTGGACAACCATACCATATTTAGCGGGATTGTCGAGGATCTCCTTGAAAGCTTGATAGGCATCCAAGTAGACAATTTTGCTTCCATGGAGTGAGCCTTGCAATGCTGGAAGTAGCTTTTCAAGTTTAGAGTTGTAGGCCTGGGCATCCCTGTTCTGCTCATCCACACATGCTCTGTCAGGATCTCCACTTAACGTAATCTGAAATGGTGTGCAGCCAAATGGTGGAAGACCTGCCAAGCAGAACTGCCTCCCACCCAGGCTAAACAGTTCCTGCATTCCAGTAAGTGAAAGAAGAGTCATATATCTAGTCTCTACTGCTTCAGAATTGAAACAATCAGCTTCAATCTAGCTGAGTACAAACAACTCAGGAAATGCTTATGATCTTTTACCTTGACAGAAGCCTGTGCTATCCGGAGTACACTATCCTGGTATTCACCTATGTTCATCTTCTTCCTCTTTAAGGAACGATAATAACGTGTGAAGTCATTGGTTCCTGAGCTGATAAATATCAGGGAGTTCTCTATGATCCTGGAAGCCTCCTCCTCTCCGACGATGTTCCTGAGCCGGAGGAGGTACTCCTTGAAGAGGTTCACCTGTTTCGACATTGGCAGGGTATTGGACAAGCGTGACGTCTGGTCTTCAAATCCTGAACCAGCCGACGCGAAGTTCACCCCGGTCATGATGTCATTGTTGGACAGGTCCTTCTCCAGGAATGGTGGTGAGAATTCTTTGAGCTGCAGCTTCTCATTGAGGAGGTCTGGAACAAGCCGGCCATTGGAGAACCTCCCTGTTGGCTTTCTTCCTGGGAAGTTCCTGCCGTAAGGAGCATGGTTTCCCACAGCCAATGTTGGGATATAATTGTTGTTGCCGGTGTCGAGAACGGAGTCGCCAAAGTAGAAGATAGCCGAGAACTTTGGCTGAGTTCTCTTGGAGGTGGAAATGGTGGTGGTGGAGGAAAGGAGGAGCACTACTAGGAGTAGAATGGTGTGCGCCATGAGAAGGAACCCCTTGCCTTGGTTTTAATACTCTCCAGACTCCAGTTGGTTCTTTGTTATATTTCCAGGGGGGTAATACATGCCTAATAAATTGGGGAAATATTTAGCTGATTCGCAGTAAGTAATGCATATCTCCCGGATATGTACTATTTAATGTTTTCTTTTGCATGAAACTGCTGTCCTTTTTCTTGACTCGAGTTGGTTGTTTTTGGCAGAACTGGAGATTTTGTATTTACTACTCTACAGTAGATGGTTAGCATGCGATGCAAGCATGTGCCCTTCATGGTAGTAATCTCTAGTTCCTATTGGTCCTGGAGTAGTCCCCTGAAAATATTTGTGGTATCTGCTTTTTAGATGTTATGCTGCTAAATGCAGAACCCATATGCGGGGAGCATCCCAGTTTGGTTTGCAATCCTCTTTTCATTTCTTTATTATTTCTCATTCATGGTGATGCAATGGTACTCCGACCAATAACATCAAGGGATAATTATCCCTCACGTACTAAAAGGCGAACAAAATCCTTTCTAGTAGTATTTAGTTTCTGGAGTATTATTAAAAGTAGTATATGTACAGATCAATATTACCTGTAATCCAAAGTACAAACTGCACGCCATACGACACAGGACGACATGTCCATGATAGATTGGTTGGCTTCTCCCGTTGATGATGGGCTGTTCATCATGCATCAGGACAAAACGTAAACTCACGGGCTATTGGAAAGTTAGAATCCTTGCAGAGCTTTGGTAGGTGACAGTGACACGGTGGCTCCACTGCCAGGCGGTTGCCGTCGAGCGGATGTCTGCCACACGTATCTTTGCACCTGTGTGCAAGCCTGCCCCAAGATCGTTACCGGGCTGCGGCGACTGGTTCGTAGACTCGTATGAAGTCGTAGCAGAATCGTAGCCCCGCGCGGACCATCAGCTGATCAGCCCGCGCGGCCTACGCGCGGCGCGAATGCCATCGCACGCGGGCACGCGGTGCTGTGGGGTTGGGTAGTTGCGGACTCGCGGTGGGGGTGGCTAGCTGGCGCGCTAGCGTGCACACCCCCTTAACTTAAGGCCTCAACTACCTTTATTTAACACTTAACACTAATGATAATACTCTCTCCATCTATTTTTGATAGTAATATTTTATCTTTGACACATAAATTAAGGATAAGTGATTCTACTTATTATCCATTTAAATATGCTACTAGTCATTCCTCGTAAACAAGCGATTCATTAATATTTATATTCCTCGATGTCCATGTAGCCAATCTTGCGTGGAAGAATGAAGAATCACACATTAAATCCAAAAAAGCCATTAAGATGATAAGTTGTTGGATTGAAATATGGCTATCAAAAATAACTTTTTTAGATTTAGACATATGACTATCATAAGTAGATTGATGGAGTAATTAGGAAAGATTCTGAAGATTTTTTTGAGATATTTTTACTAATAGATTGAAAATTTTTTAAGTTAGATTTGAAAACTTTTGATTTAAGATTTAAATTTTAAAGTTAAAATTTGAAAACTTTCAACTCAGATTCGAAAATTTTCAACTCGAGATTCGAAAATTTTGAAAACTTTCAACTTGAGATTTGAAAATTTTTAACTCGAGATTCAAAAACTTTCAAGTCCAGATTTGAAAATTTTGAAAACTTTCAACTTGAGATTTGAAAATTTTCAACTCGAGATTTAAAAACTTCCAACTCGAGATTTAAAAACTTTCAAGTCCAAAGTCCAAATTTAAAAAAAAATTAAGTTAAAATTTAAAAATTACTAAGTAAACTAATCACTAATAAAAATATAAAAATAATGACTAGTAAACTAATAACAATTTTTTCTCCTATCCGTACGGAAGCGAACTACGAAAAAAGAAAAAAAAAAGAAAAAGAAAGAAACGGTTGCGAAAAAAAAGAAAAAAAATCGTGCGTGTATGCGTGGGCCGTGTGGGCCGGAAGTACACGCCGACAACGCCGCGCCGCGAATTAGCATTCTCAGACTCGCGGTACATTTGTTTTCACCGGGGCTTGGCTGACAGGAATCCTAATTGGCGCGTACGCGCCGGCCCACACGGCCCAATAGACGACAAGACACGGTTAGTTTTTTTTTTCCGAAATTTTTCCATATATGTGTAAACTTTCAACCCAGATTTGAATACTTTCAACTCTGACTTGAATACTTTCAACTCTGACTTGAAATCTTTCAACTCATATTTGAAAACTTTCAACTCAGATTTAAAAATTTTCAACTCGAGATTCAAAAACTTTCAACTCAGATTCGAAAACTTTCAACTCGAGATTCGAAAACTTTCAACTCAAGATTTAAAAACTTTCAAGTACAGATTTGAAATTTTTTAAGTTAAGATTTGAAAAAATATGAAAACTTTCGACTCAGATTTAAAAACTTTCAACTCGAGAATTGAAAACTTTCGACTCCGATTCGAAAACTTTCAACTCGAGATTTGAAAACTTTCAACTCAGATTCGAAAAATTTCAACTCGAGATTTGAATACTTTCAAATCAGATTTAAAAATTTTCAAGTTAAGATTTAAAAACTTTCAACTCAAAACATTTTTTAAAAAATAAGTGTGCTAAAGATTTTAAAAAGTTATCAGAAAAAAACGAAAAAAAAACCGAAAAAAATCGCAAAAAAAAAGAAAAAACAAATCGCGAAAAAAAAGGGTTGATGCGCCTTGGGTCGGGAGCAGCTGGCACGCGCCAACTAGCAACCCCTCTTGGCTGATTATGCCGAGGAGCATCAACGAGGCCACTTTCCTCGAGTTGGGCCGAGTTTTGCGAGCCTTTTGCGTGCCGGGTTGGCTTGGGCTTCTCTATCCAGTCGCGCCACGGCACTGGCCTAATCAAGGCTATCACCTCTCTGTGCCTCTGTGGGCTATTAGTGGAGCCCAGGCCATTCAAAAAAGATGAGATCACAGATTCCCAATCCATCACAGCACGTCAGTACCAAGTGGAGCACAAGTTGCACCTCTTGCACACAGCACACTTGTTAGATGAGTCAGCTAACAAGGATTTTATTTTCAATTTTTCCCACACTTGATAATTTATCACCATCTCTTTTTCTATTGGACAATGATGAGTTAGTTGAACCCAATGGGCACAGAGGCATATGGAGTATGGATTTCTTAGCTGATTAAACAACAGGGGAGAACATAACATTAGGCTTTGAATTAGGTTCTATCTATATACTACTCAGAATGTCACTTCTAGAAAGACGTACTAGGGAAGTAGACAAGGATTCCATGGATTCTTCCGTTCGTGACGCGCAGGTTGCTAGTCCATTTTGTACTGGCAAGTGGCTAAGGAGTAATTGGTTTAGTACTAATTCTCCGGTCCATGTACCACATGCTAAAGAAACTTTGCATTAATCTATTTTGACGTCATATTAATTAGGTTCACATAGACGAAAGATTCTGCAAGTTGCTATTTATAGATAGGTCTATCCGTAACAACAAGGTTACTATTTTATCACCTACTCTAGTAAGACCAAGAGGGAAACCACTATAGCCAGTTTAATCTTCGCTTTTTCTACCTAATGACTTGTTCAAACTAGTTACTTCCAGCCCTTTTTACTACTACTCCATTAGAAACAAACCTCAAAAAAGTCAAAACTCTATCGTCCCCTGATTACCCTCGTCAGTAACCCCTGAAGGAGCGCATCAACTTGCTCAACTAACCACCACAGTAACGAAAGCAAGCACACCTATTTAACATGCAACCATCCACCTCTTGCCTCACAAATGACGCATATAAAATCTCAGGGACGAGAACTTTCGTCGTTAATCCTGACCCACCCCTGTCTGTCTCATTCTTACTTTACAGAGGAAAAAGAAGGCAACGACGAGCGCTTGATACAATGCCGTACGCCGCCGTACGTCCTTCGCCACCGCCGCAGCTCAGCCGGCCGATCGGCTCCGGAGCCGGCGGCGGTAAGGCGTGCCCGGCGGTGCCGTGCGAGGTGGCGCGGTACCACGAGCACGCGGTGGGCGCGGGGCAGTGCTTCTCCACCGTGGTGCAGGCGATCGCGGCGCCGGCGGACGCGGTGTGGTCGGTGGTGCGGAGGTTCGACCGGCCGCAGGCGTACAAGAAGTTCATCAAGAGCTGCCGCCTCGTGGACGGCGACGGCGGCGAGGTCGGGTCGGTGCGGGAGGTGCGCGTCGTGTCCGGGCTGCCGGCCACGAGCAGCCGCGAGCGGCTCGAGGTCCTGGACGACGACCGCCGCGTGCTCAGCTTCCGGATCGTCGGCGGCGAGCACCGCCTCGCCAACTACCGCTCGGTGACCACCGTCCACGAGGCGGCGGCGCCGGCGATGGCCGTGGTGGTCGAGTCGTACGTGGTGGACGTGCCGCCGGGGAACACCTGGGAGGAGACGCGCGTGTTCGTGGACACGATCGTGCGCTGCAACCTCCAGTCGCTTGCGCGAACGGTCGAGCGGCTCGCGCCGGAAGCGCCGCGCGCCAACGGATCGATCGATCATGCATGATGCATGCATATGCCTGCCTGGCGAGCCAGCCGCCGGCCGGGCTCTTTATTTTTCATACTTATCTATGTAGGGTAATTAATTAGATAGTGCTAGCTTAATTAGTTTTGATTTAGACTGGTTTAATTTCTTGTTTTGACAAATTAAGTACGGTGTAATGTGTACCGTACGTCAAGATTAACCTGCTCATAATCATGTTCATTTTTTTTTCACTGAGATTTCGAGACGACTAGCTAGCCAGCTGCCACAGGCTGAGCAATTTATATATACTGTCGTATTGCAAAGTAAGAAGCTAGCTTTATTTGTCTTCGGAGTATTTTCATCGAAATGATTCTGATCAGTACGTACATAAGTACATTCTATGGGTGACACAATTATTTATGTTTGATCTTTGACGCATCTATTAAATTTGTACCTAAATTCGTCTAATTAATGACAATAATTGACAATTAGGATAGTTTATGGTGTATCATCATCGTTGATGGTTTGAGTTATATATAGGGAGTATAGTATAAATCTTGTGTGATACTCCCTCCGTCTCAGGTTGTACGATGTTTTAACTTTGGTCAAAGTCAAACTGCTTCAAGTTTGACTAAGTTTATAGACAAATATAATAATATTTACATTACCAAATTAGTTTTATTAAATTAATAATTAAATATATTTTTATAATAAATTTACCTTTGATCGAAAATATTACTATATTTTTTATAAACTTGGTCAAACTTAAAATAGTTTGGCTTTGATCAAAGCCAAAACATCTTATCACCTGAAACGGAGGAAATAGTACCCGTAGTAAGAGAGTTCGTAGTTCTTACCCTTGTTCGGGGGAGGGAGGTATCAAATCGTAGCCACTAATTGATCATCTCATCGGATGGCTGAGGATCTTTGGTACTGCCGGAAAGAGGTACCAAATCATAGCCACTCATCGATCATCATCGGAGGGCTGAGGATCTTTGCTACTTACCAACACCGGCACTCATCCCACCACACCAAGCCTCAAAACACCATGTAAATTATAAAAGTAAAATGGTCGTCTTTTTTCCATTTATGTAATTCCCCAAGGCATCGTGTTCATCCTTCCTCGACGGATCATCAATTGTCATTCTGCTCTCACCTCAACGGCTCCTCTTTCTCCTCCTTCCCCACCATCACTTGCCCTTTCTCACACCCTCCCCTCTCACCAGCGTCTCTAGTCCATTATATTTGGCCGAGGGCAATGGTAAGGAGGCCTCCGATCCTCCAACTCAGTGGTGCCCTCCGGGGGCAGTGGTGATGGTAATGGGCCGGCTAAGGGTGTTGGCTCAATGATCACTGTCCTCCTCCCTCCTACCTAATAGTACTAGTATACCGGTGTCGGGGACGAAGCAAGCAACTCTCGAAGGCAGGTTATGGGAGGCCGAGGCGGCGCATATGCGCCATCATCGAAACTAGGAGGAGGCAAGCTAGAATTCGATGAGGTGAGTTGCTGGTCAGGCCTTGTTGGGGAAGGCAACTCACTCACGCGTTGTCAAAGGAGTTGGATGAGAACGTGACGATGGTCAAAAGACCGAGATGCGGTCGTGGTCGCGCGAGAGACACAAGCAATGGGAGAGAGAGAGAGAGAGAGGCATGAGCATGTCATTCCTGACATGTGGGCCTGGTGGAGCGTTTCCCATGGAAAAATTATTTCCGATCATGACCTTGTTGATTTAGTGGTTTGATTTCAAATGGTACCTGCCAGTATCAAGTATCTGGGGGTATCACTTTAAGGGCAGTAAAAACTCTCATGAGTTATCAAATTTCAGAGCACCTTAGCAAAGATGGTTTGTATTTAAGCCACTTTTGATAGCTGACTATATTGGTCATGTTTCATTTTGGACGGTCTGTTAAAGGGTCTCATTTTAAATCGTTTGTAGTGACATCCTATTATCACCTACTTACAAAGTGACTCGGCAAGCCGTTTGATGGTTATAAACTCTCTGACGTAATTTAGCCTATAAAATATATCAATTATCGATCCCATTTATACCCGAACATTTTTAGTCAACAAGAGGCATAACATTATGCTACGTCCCAGTTAATATATAGTCTCATTAATTGACTACATGTGCACGAACTTTAAATAATTTTGATGTGATGAGAGTAGCTTTTCAAGTAGTTATCTCGCCGGACGCTTCTTTTTTTTTAACGGAATTAGTACGAGATTTTGCTATTTCATTGAATATAGACATATAGTGGTAGAAAAATACAACCTCTAGAGATGGAAAGGAAAAACTGTATAGAGCTGTACTGGACCTAAGTGTTTGGTAAAATCTCTCGTAGCCGTTTTGCACCTGCCAAGACCCATGTTCTTGCTTGCTTCTTTATTTTCACCATGAGTCTAGGGGTCATGGTCTCCTGTGCTCGAAGACCGGTTTCTTTCCTTCCAGATTTTCCACACGACCAATAGGATTTGTTGGCCAATATTTCCACCATTCTTGAACGCTTTGATTTGGATCTCAATGGTCCAGCTGTTGGTATGATAACCTAGGGCGCAATTAGACTTTAGATTCTTCGTGTACAGTGGGCAAAGAGATAACCTGCCGACTCATTCGCCACATGCCTTGGGGGGGGGGGGGCATGACCCGTTGTTTTGGCCGGGCTCTGTTTAAGTAGTGATACTCTTTAGCACGTCGTATCAAAACTACTAGAGTATCACCTGATCTTATTCTTCCTACGGTAAGCAACTCACCGTTAAAAAAAGGGGCATTTGCAAATTTGCCATCGGTTTTTTTAATATTGCAAGGATACCACTTGAATGACAGTTCTAGTGGTATTTTTGTAATTTTCTAGTGGCAATCTTGCAATAACGATTCAAAGTAGTGGTAAATTTGCAATTGCCCCTTAAAAAAAGGTACGCTTACATAGGCTTGATGGCAATATTTGATAAGCTTCTTATCTCAATCCTTATTCTTTAGAGGCACCAAACTAGGCCATGCCCCCATTTTTTTTAAAAGAACACAATAAATCGTAGAAATATAAATGGAATAATAAAAATAATTTAAAGGTAAAACTTTTATATTATGCAAGTACGAAGATAAACCCAAATATTAACTCCGAATTTAGTTTCAAATTTTAAATTTTGCATCTAATAAGCCAACAATATCAAATGATGAGAAAATTACTTATTCCCTCCGTAATCTAGGAAGGGATGTAGGGTTACATTCTCCTAGTACAATGAATCTAGACAAAGGTATGTCCAGATTCGTTGTTTGCTATACGGTTCTTATTATTTTATTTCTTTTTTTTCTCTACGAGTTCTTTCAGCGTGCATTTTAACATTGATGCAACTTGGTACTACAAGTGTTGCTCCTTTCTTTGCATATGAAATTTCGTGTGCCAACTGCCAAGTTGTCAACTGCTTATCCTGGCCCCATAGCCATTGTTTTCTATCGCTCTTGAGCATAATTATGATTTGATTCACTGCGACTCGAAGGTTATTCGATATTATATTCTAAATTTCTAATTAAGGTATTTCTTTCTCAGCTCATATATAGATGCAATTCTAATTAAGAAAATTGGAAAAGGATATATATATGTAGGACCAGTGGGATGGAATACTGCAAACTCCTGCAGGTTAATTGTGGATTAGATCGAATCTCGTAGGCCTAAAATGATTTAAGGTGGAGAAAGGTCTGCAATATAGACTCCCTCCAATCATAAATATTCGGAGTTGCTAGAAATATGGCGCCATATGCTACAGTCGATTTTTTTTCAGCCACTTACACAGTAGTTACACCTCATTTACACCCCACTTACATATGTAATTAGTATGTAATTTTAGTACTTACATATGTAATTTTGAGACTTACATTGTAAATACACTAAAATTACATATGTAATTTAGGGACTTACAATGTAAATACATGCCGACTATTTTTTGATGAAAAATATGACGCCATAAATATAGCTACACCCTAAATATTTTATGTTTACGATAACAAGATTCGGTTAAACTTTTAAAATTTTCACGATCAGTTTTATATTAAAATAAGTATATAAAATCTAACAAGATTATTGATATTATGAAAGTATACTTTTCAAGACAAAACTGCATTTATCATTTCTTTTGTTTTTAAACTACGCATTTATGGTTGATGGTCGGAATTTAAAAGTTTAACCCAATATTTTTCTGAATATCAAATATTTTTAAACAGGTGGAATATAATTCAATAACACACAACTAAAATGAAATACGTCAAAAGCACATAAAACTTGTAAAAGACACGCGTGCTAAATGGACAAATTAACAGGGACTAAAATAAACAAATTAACAACTTGTGCCGTAAACAGACAATCATCCCACATTTCCAAGTCTCAATCTGGAGGAATCCTGCAGCGAAGCCAACTTGCTGCCGCGCGCGCGCGCATACATTTCAAACGAGAGCTGTGTGCCTGTGTCTCCATTCAAAATCTAGCCAAGAAAAATCGGAGGCAGCCCCCTGTCCGGCGATGCCTTTCCTTGGCCTACTCCATCTTGCAAATGTACCACGTAAACTTGAGCCGAGTTGCATTGTGATGTAGGTCATGTAGCGCACACTTGAGCTGCAAGTGGTTCACAAATCATACTCCATCTACAAGTCTTTCTTCTCGACATACGCAGAGAAACATTGCCGCATGTCAGTGTCACAAGCTCCTTTGCTGGTTGTCAGCTAAATTAGTGGCTTGAGCACTACGCATCAGTAGTTACCAGCAAGCTTGGACAATTAGCACTAGTTTCAAGTTTGTCTTACTCTGCTTACAAAAAAGATTGGCCCAGCTATTGAAATACTCCTGTGCAGTTTGCGTGGTTAAATTGTCATGGAAGTCGCATCGACTGTGGAAGAATCAGTAAACAGCGAATTGAAATCGAGGTTTGTGCAGGACATGAGGGGGTTGAGTGACAAGGAAAACTAATGACTAATGAGGTAGAACAACTCGCCATCCGGCGAATTGGTATCGAGGGTTTGGCGCCATGATTGTGTGCTTACACTGTCGGCCACTTTAATTGCTCGCCGCATGTACTGGTTTGCGAAAGACCCAACTAGGACAAGGAACAGAGAAAGGATAGAGATTATATGTGACCATGTAAGCATCCAAAGCAGGAGGTCGACTTGGCAAATTGCGCGGCCAGTTGCATGGTGTAGTAGTAGCTAGGATGATACTTTTGTAGACCGGGAGTGGCGATTTGCCTCACCATGCACGTTGGACGATTATTGTGTCCGACCGGCATCGATAGGACAAAAAAATTGATAATTTAACACATTTTTTTCCAGTTATTTTCATTGAAACCTGTGAGGATGATATGTGGGACCATCTGAGTGAATGAAAGTGGGCCAAGATATCAAATAATCGAAAGCCATTTTAAGAAGTGTTAAATTATCAAATCTCTCCGATAGGACACGTGAAGTCATCGAGGAGATAAATTTTGCATCACTTGTGCAAACATGTCCTTCCTGTTTATTTGCTCATCAACTGCATTGAAAATCTAAATTTTAAAACTTAATTTAGTCTCTCTTTTTTTATCAAAGTCAATTTTTCAACCATATTTTATAAGGAAAAAGTACGAATTACCCTCCCGAACTATCGTGGTCGTTCGAATTACCCCAGAACCACAAAACCGGGCATTCTTCACTCCCAACTATGCAAACCGGACAAATTACCCCCCTCGACCCAATCCGCGGTGGTTTTGGTCCACGTGGCGTACGCGTGGCAGTCCAGTCAGCACTCTATTTATATAAAAAAAATGTGGGACCCACCTATCATCTCCTCATCCTCTCTCTTCTCTCTCTCTCACTCTTCCTCTCTCTCTCAAACGGGTTGGCGGTGGCGTGCGGGGGAGGACGCGGTAGCGGCGTGCGGGCAGTGGCGGAGCGCCGGGGAGGACGCGGCGGCGGCGGGCGGCGCCGACGAGAGGAGATGAGGAGGACTACGACGAGGATGGCGTGCACGGTGGCGGGGGATGAGGAGGAGGACGACAAGGATGGCGATGGCGGAGTGGAGGACGAGGACGAGGACGCTGGCTGCGGCGGTCATGGCGGAGAGGTGGAGCGCGGGGAGGACGCGGCGGCGGCGGGCGGCGCCGAGGAGGTAGCAGAGCACCAGGGGCGGGGGATAAGGAGGCGGCCGCTCGGCGCAGCTTCCCCCCTCCCTCTCTCTCTCTCTCTCTCTGTGGAGCCGTCGGGACAGCGGGCACAGCGGGGGCGGTGACAAAGCTCGCGGCGCACCCCGGCGCTCCGCCACCTCCTCAGCACCGCCCACCACAGCCGCGTCCTCCCCGCGCTCCGCCTCTCCGCCATGGCCACCGCAGCCAACGTCCTCGCCGTCGTCCTCCACTCCTCCGTCGCCATCCTCGTCGTCGTCATCCTCCTCATTCCCCATCGCTGCTGCCGCCGCCTCCGCGTCACCCGCCACTGCCGCCGCCGTGCGCTCCATCCTCCTCACCCCCCCTGGTCGGTACCGCCCGCTGCCGCCGCGTCCTCCCCCGCACGCCGCCGCCGACCCGTTTGACAGAGAGAGGAAGAGTGAGAGAGAGAGAAGAGAGATGAAGAGAGGATGAGGAGATGACGGGTGGGTCCCACATTTTTTTTTATAAATAGAGTGCTGACTGGACTGCCACGCGTACGCCATGTGGACCAAAACTACCGCGGATTGGGTCGAGGGGGTAATTTGTCCAATTTACATAGTTGGGGGTGAAGAATGTCCGGTTTTATGGTTTTGGGATAATTCGGACGACCGCGATAATTCGGTTGGATAATTCGTACTTTTTCCTACTTTTTAACCGTTAAGACTACAGATATATCATAAATTATCTTTATTGATTCGTTTATTTTTCCACGGTAGATACCGAGGATGCTTCGATCTTCATTTTTATTAAAAACAAATCATCGTTCGGTGGTCTGAAATTATTTTTCTTGTCCAGAACTCCAGATTCCACGGGCTACATCAAATCCGTCATCGAACTGTTTTTGATGATACCCATCGGAAAAAACGTAATTCGGAGAGAGATGATATTTTGCCCTGTTTTGAGGGGAAAGAGATATGGTACTGGAGATAAACTGCAGTGGGAAATGGTAAGGAACAAACTGGTCTCTCCGTTTCAAATTTCAAGTCATTTTAACTTTTTTTTCAAGTCAAACCTTTTTAAGGTTGACCAAATTTATAGAAAAATTTAGCATCTAAAACACTAAATTAATTTCATTAAATTTAGCATTGAATATATTTTAATAACACATTTTTTTATATTTAAAATATTATGATATTTTTATAAAATTTATTAAATTCAAATAAGTTTAATTAAAAAGATCAAACGGAGGGAGTAAGAAATCCTTGGAAGGCTCAGGGCTCAGGCCAGCCAACGGAACAAATGGACATCTTCCCAGTTGGCCCAAAGTGAAAGTCTGAAAACCTCCAGCCCATGTCGATCCAAACCAATCCAACTAGCATCCAACTAAGGATTGCGATTTACTTCAATGCCTCTGGTGCACTCGCCTCTCTGAAGTCTGAACCACCACCCGCCCGGGTGTTGTGCGGGGCATTTAATTATTTGTTACTTTTAAATTTTAAATTTGATGTTTAACTATTTACGATTCATATATATGAATGATGTATCAATCTAATGGTAAATAATTAATTGCTAAATCTAAAAGTAATAAATAGTTGAATATCTCGCATTGGATGTTCGGTTGGCTCCACCATACAACGGTACAAGCAGAGAATTCATACTGAGGCTGACAATTCGCTGAGAAATGCCACATCCCATATAAAATTAACTTATTATAGGATGAATGGAGTAACAATTTCTTCACTCATATTTTTTTCTTAAACAATCACAACTTCTCACTATTCAAATTCCTTACCTATTTTCTTTTCTTGACCAATCACAATCACTTTTTATTTAATTCGTTAACTTTCGTTATACTCGTATCTAATCTAAACTTCTTATATTTTTTTAAGAAGATAATAGTATTTTGATTAAATTGTTGCAATGCGGAATCACGTCAACATCGTTGCTGACCTTAATTTGTAATGTAATACTCCCTCCGTCCCATAATATAAGGGATTTTACCATTTTTTAGTTGTCCCACAATATAAGGGATTTTGGTGTACTACTTGTCACATCCATCAATTACAATTCAAATTTTTACCCATTTTAACCCTTAACTACCCACTCACCTATAAGCAAATATCATTTAATAGAGGTATTATAGTATTTTCATGCTATCCTTATACTTATTCAAAAGGGAATAATTTCTTATATTATAGGATGGGATGGAAGGAGTACTACTAGCTCAGAGAGCAAACTGGGCCACTCACCGGCTCAGCGCTGTCCATCTCAACGACGAATGGAAACGATGGATTCATATGGACGCGGCTACGGTCGGTCGCCCGATCCGGGGCCGGGAAAATCGTTTACGTGCAAAACTATTTTAAACTGATTTTTCTCTTAAATTACTCATTCAAATCATGATCCGATTGCACTATTAAATTTGTTGCAATTAAATCTTCAAAACAAGACCACACATGGATATATTCCGATGAAAAAAAATTTAGCTTATTATTGAATTATTTTAAATGTTGCACGATGTTCCACCGGAATTGTTTCACTATGTAGATCGGAAATGTTTCACTCTTTCAAATCAGGTGTTGCTTCACCTTATATAAAAACAATGTTTCAGTAAATAGCGAAAGAATGTTTCAGTTCAGTGCAACATTAGATCTATACATAGAAACATTGTGAGTACACTAGATGAAACATTTTTCGGTAGAACAAAAAATAAACCAAATTCCCTTAATAGGGGGTTTCCAAAATATGTGGGTTTTTTTTGTTGCAATGAAATGTTCCGTTCAATGCAACATTAGATCTATACATAGTGAAACATTGTGAGTACACTAGTTGAAACATCTTTGGTAAAACAAAAAATAAACCAAATTCCCTTAATAGAGAGTTTCCAAAATATATGGTTTTTTTAAAGAGTATTTTAATTCACTACAATATTAGGTGTATAAATAGTGAAACATTGTAAATACACTAGGTAAAATATCTTTTATGAAAAAAGAAAGAGAAGTAAGTGGACCTATAGGTGCACACGTGGGGAGAGGGGCGTGGGGGGAGCGCCCGATCCGGCTCCCCCGCGCCGGACGACCGAGGGTAAGTGTTTTCGGATTCATATGGCTATTCATGTGGCCCTCGTGCACCACGCTAGCTAACCCGCCTAGTTCACGCAACGTGCCAAACACGGGCCACCCGGTCTCTTTCCACCACGGTGCCCGTGTCCGTCCGAGCGCGCCGAGTCGAGCGGATTGCGGAGAGCGGAGCGGCGAGATGGCGGCGACCGGGGACAGCAGCGGCGCCCTCGTCTGCGTGACGGGCGGCAGCGGCTTCATCGGCTCGTGGCTCGTCCGCCTCCTCCTCGACCGCGGCTACACCGTCCACGCCACCGTCAAGAACCTCCGTATGTAACACGCGCTCTAGATTCTCTCTGCTCATCTCCACGAGATCATGACTACACCGAACCATACGCGGGCAGCTCAAGATCTCCGGTTTTTTCTTCTCTCGTAGAGGACGACGGCGAGACGAGGCACCTGCAGGCTCTGGACGGCGCCGACACGCGGCTCCGGCTGTTCCAGATGGACCTCCTCGACCCGGCCTCCATCACGCCGGCGGTGGACGGCGCCCACGGCGTCTTCCACCTGGCTTCCCCTCTCACACTTCACCCGACTCAAGACCCCGAGGCAACAAATTCTCCCTTCACAATCGCACAGCTGCAGCTGCAGTACTGCCTGCACACTTGCACGAATGCAGTTCTTTCGGTCAACTCATCGCCTAATTTACGACGTTTTCTGCTGCTGTGCCTGCCCTGCAGGGTGAGCTGCTGAAGCCAGCGGTGAGTGGCACTCTCAACGTCCTCCGTGCCGCGAAGGACTGCGGTGTCGCCCGTGTAATGCTGATGGCGTCGCAGGTTGCCATAGTGCCCAATCCTGAGTGGCCTGCTGATAAGGTCATCGACGACGACAGCTGGGCCGACGTCGAGCTCCTCAAGAAACATCAGGTACACAACTTCCCAATTTGCAACTGCACTAGCCGCACCGGGAGTCTGCGATGTGTTGGGGGACTTGGGGGTAATCAGGGTGCTGGCACTAATTAACAAGTCACAAATCACAATCATATGTGCTGATATATGATGTTACGCTTGGTGTGAGTTGTGCAATCTGTTGGTTGTTGCAGACTTGCTGTGCTTTTTCCTTATTTGGAAAAAGCACAGTGCATGTCAGATGGGAATATCTACATCATCCAGACACGCAATCCGAAAAGTTACTATATTTTGCTTCTATATGCATGTGCTGTAATGGCAACGGAATTAAATCAACTTCACATTGTGGAAATATGTAGTGCACTGTACCTTTTTTTTTTCTTCAAGCTGTGCTAATTTTACTCAGTGCAGCATTGGTACAACGTATCTAAAACGCTGGCAGAGAAGGCTGCCTGGGACTTCGCCGCAAAGGAAGGCTTGCAGCTGGTCGCCCTCAATCCAGGCTTGGTATTGGGCCCAATGTTGATGCCATCCCCTACTTCTAGTCTCCATATGCTGCTTCAGATTCTCGGAGGTCAGTCTCTCAACTCTCTTCAGTGTTACAATGTTTAATTGATGTAAGTAGCTTCTAAGATCGCTTGTCATGCACAGGCCAGAGGTTTGACATCGATGACTTCTACATTGGCTGTGTCGATGTCAGAGATGTGGCACAGTCCGCGGTAGTGATCTATGAGAACACATCGGCACAGGGACGCCACTTATGCATCGAGTCCATAGAGCGTCTGATTGATTTCCATGATAAACTTGCTGAGCTTTACCCTGAATTCCCGATCCACAGGTGATGCATCTATGGGCATCAACATCTCTTAAATCAGATGCAGTGTTCTTCTCTTGCTAATTTCTTTCTTTTTCTTTTCTGCATCAGAATCCAGGAGGATAAACAAGGGTGGGTGGTGAGATCAAAGGCTGCCTCGAAGAAGCTAATTGATCTTGGTGTGCATTTCATTCCGTTCGAAAAAACCATCAGGGACTCTGTGGATTGCTTGAGAAGCAAAGGTTATATATAAGCCTGTGAACATATATTTCGTACTCAGGTTCAGAAACTGCTGTATTTCAGGTTTCACGGTTGAATAAACTGTCGGAATGCGTAGGCATTTCCTCCCCATCAATAATACACTTTTTTTAACTTCAGAAATGGATATGTTTTAAATTGCATCATTTGGTGGTTCTGGACTTAAAACTGATCAAAAAGCGAAAGAAGAATAAGGGAGCAAACATCATAAAGTAGAAAGTGGAAAAAGGCTAAGAAATGAAGTGGATAGAAGAGAAACAAAATCATTCAAAATAAAAAAGGAACAGAGTAAAGAACAGGAAAAGGAAAGCAGAAGAAATCTAGCTCTGAGATCTCTTCCAGGTCCCTCCCTTTACTTGTTCTCTTTTACCTGCAGCAATAAGATAACCAACTAGGTCATCCTACAACTCAAAAATCTTTGTCATTTTATTTTTCGAACCGACTCCAGCTTACAGTTAAAAATCTTTGTCATTTTATTTAGATGACATGTAATAAACGGGTGAGTCCACTCGAGCCGTTAAAACAGTTTCCCTCATATGTGCAGTCATCGGAGTTTCTAGTGACGTAGCCCATGCCCCATAGCCCCATAGGAACCTGATCGTCGATATCTGCGGCATCCAGCATAAAGTCACTCGGTGCTCTTGTGTGGAGTTCGAACATGTAATCGTACGTTGAACCCCACAGCCACAGGTCGCCACACCATCGAAAGCAAAGGCTACAGTAGCAAGCGGCAAAGCTGGTTCTTCTCACTCGATTCGATTCGCCGGCCTGACATGAAGCCACGCTCGCTTCTTGAAAACCTGTCTCCCGCGCAACCTGACCTGGGAAAAGGCTGCCTTCCAGGAGAGGAGATGATCCAAGAGCATCTCCTCCTCCGTCTCCTTCCTTTCGCCTCCAAAAGGAGCTAAAGCATATCGATCTCGCGATCGATCGATTCGATCGACGACGCGTACATTGGCTAGCCCCCTGCACCAAAAAAAAAAAAAGGCGGCGCCTTTAGCTCTCTTTTCCTCTCCCCGCTTGCCCCATGGCTTGTTGTTCTTGTTCTTCCTCCTCGCGAATTCTTCCTCGAATCCTCATCTTGTCCCTCGTACTGTTCTCCTTCGCCACGGCGCCATGCGCCGCTGGGAGGGTCACGATGTCGGTCTATTACGAGACGCTGTGCCCGTTCTGCTCCGGCTTCGTCGTCAACGATCTCGCGAGGATCTTCCGGGACGGCCTCTCCCCCGTCGTTGACCTCCGCCTCGTCCCCTTCGGCAATGGCCGCGTCTCGCCCGACGGATCGATTACCTGCCAGGTCCGCCTCGATCGCTAGCCTCCGTTCCTCACCCATCTCGTTATTAATCTGTTCGTCATCCTCGCCCCGCGCTCACCATGGTTTCCGATTGCCTACTCTAATTGCTTGGTTTTGCAGCATGGAGAGGAGGAATGCCAACTCAATGCGATAGAAGCTTGCGTGATCAGACTTTGGCCTGACGCGGTAATGCCTTACATTAACAGAACAAAAAAAAAAGTTTCTGAACTCAATAGTTCAGTGTCCTGTAGTGTAATTATGTGACAAAACATGCTGGCATTTAATCCATCTATATAGTAGTAGTATGATGTACTGTATGAATGAGCATATGGTAGATCTGCCAAGCTCATCTATTGCTCACATCGATAGAATTTGAGACAATGCACTGAAGTGCCACCAGTATCTGTTCTTCTGAATGCAGGAACAGCATTTCCCTTTCATTAATTGCATTGAGCATTTAGCGCTGACTCAAAAATGGAACGCGTGGCAATCTTGCTTTCAAGAAACTGGTCTAGCCTCTCAACCTGTTATGGACTGCTATAACTCAGGGTACGGCACACAGGTAGGTTCAGTTATTGGCTTCCTATTTCCATTGTCTTTTACTTTCAGATTTGCAGTTGATATATGTTGAGCTAAGAAAGTACTCAGCTTGTTTTTTTTATTTAGAAAAATAAAATAAGTAGTTCTGGTATAGTTGTGTTTAGTAACAATGAAAGTACATCCTAAATGATTTTTTTTCTGAAGACCACCATATACTCCATCCGTCCTAAAATATAGCAACTTTTAGCTGGATAGGACATAATTTATTACTACGAATCTGGATAGAAGGTCTGTCCAGATTCTACTAGGATACGTCCCATCCACAAAAAAAATGCTAAATTTTGGGACGGAGGGAGTAATATGCATTCACAAGATAATGGATCTGATTCTTGCGCTATTCTTCAGATTTGTTCAGAACAGCTCAGCAGCATATTTCTATGTACGTTGAATTTTGATCATCTAATAATAAATCAATTGAATGTGCAGCTTCAACTCCAGTATGCTGCAGAGACGAATGCCCTTCAGCCTCCTCATCAGTTTGTACCCTGGGTGACCGTAAACGGGCGCCCCCTTGGTGATGTAAGTTCCATTTCTTTTCTGAAAATTCTAGTCATATTATACACCATTACTTAAATCTGTCAGGAGAACTAGCACATTATGTCACTGATCTGCAGGATTACACAAATTTTGAAGCCTACATCTGCAGAGCTTATGATGGTGAACTTCCTGAGGCATGCAGGGGGAAACACCTCGCCATTGCTCAACAGACAAGAGCAAGCCGAGGAGGCAAGGTGTGCTTAGCTAGCAAAACTGTCAGTTCAAATAAACCTTAGAAACAGGCATGAGGCAACAAAATGTTTTGTTTCAAGCTGTTCTGGAATCTATACTACTCTGCTTGGTCTAGATGTATTTTGCAGTTGATTGAGCCAGCGTTTCCGTCATGCAACTAGTGTTATGGTTATTGGCATTTGTGGGACTAATAAGAACATGCACAGATTTGTTTTGCACATTTCAGTTCACATCATTTTGTTCAGATACACAAGCCTGATCGATGTCCATGTTCTTGTAATGCAGAGGGATCCACAAAAGTTGGCCGTTCTACTTGCCTTCTGCATCGCGGTGTGGTTCTGACCTCTCTGGAGCGCCATTTCGTCGAGAAAACTCAAACAGTTCAAGATCAGATGAAGCTAACCAAGTAGACTAACAAATACGGAGTAGAAGTAAACAACATTCGCAAACAAGGCATTGTGTAGCACATAAAGTTGCGAATTTTTTCCCCCTTTCTTTGCCTCTGCAAAAAAAATTTCTCTCTTTTCTCTAACAGCGAGTTCAGTATCATTGACTGTCTCAGATAAGGAGACTAGTCACGCTCACGCTTGATTGTTCTATTAGGCCTGTTGTTATACAGATCAAGTGTAAATAAAACTGTAAACAGCAAACCGGTGGAGCTGAAGGACTCTTTTTAAGACAGCCTCGTTGGCAATTGTACTTCTTTCTGCCTTCCTGGCTGTTGCAGTAATAAACAACCTTCCCGGCTCTCCTGATTCTCACTAATCACATGGGTGGCACGTTTGTGCTTGTAAATAGCATTCCAAAGTAGAGTGGGCCCCATTTTCAGAAGGATGGCGAAGATGGTTTATTAAGCACTAATGGTACAATCATCTGACACTCCAGATTCCAGAACATGCTCTTTTCTGAAACAGAGACTGCTAATACCTTCCCCGGTTTATCCTTATCAGCTCAGGCTCTGCAATACTCATTTAAAAGAAACTTTTGCGTATGTATCACCGTATGACTAGTTATTTAAAGATTGGTCCTGAACAAAGTGTAAGGTTAAGGAGCTAGAGATTCTGAAAAGTAACTTATAAATATCTAGCTGGTGAGATTTTTTTTTTAAAAAAACTAAAATTTCCAGTTTCTAGCTAATAGTTCTTTTGCTGAATTATATAAATTTAAACAAGAATGTAAATTGTTTGACGAGAGACGACGAAAATTCCTGATTGCCCACAAGGGTTATCCTGAAAATACAGACGACTAGCAGGCATCAACGTGCAAAAGTAGCTCAACAAGAGACTACTATACTACTAGTCTACTTCTGCTCCTCCATTAACTGAACTAAACAACCTCTCTTAAACTGAAACTCTGAAACCAACCTCCGCCACCATCTGCAACTCTCTGCACTGTCCCCGCTTCCTTCCACGGCCACGGCGGCGGCCATCGCCGCCGTCGGCGATCTCGCCCTGCTCCATCCCGCTCTCCCGTTTCCAATCCCCCAACCGGAGCAGAAATGGCCATCTCCTCCGCCCTCTCCTTCCTCTCCGATCGCAAGCGCCCTATCGTTGTTTCCGTCTTCCTCTTCCTCCTCCTCTCATCCCTCTTCCTCCTCTTCAGCCCCGCACCTGCCGCGCTCCCTTTCTTCTCCTTCCCCTCCTCTCACCTCTCCTCCTCCTCCTCCTCTCCTATCGCCGCCACGCCGCCACCCCTGACTCCAGTTTCCGTCCCCGCCAACGCATCTTCACCGGAGACCCCAGTTGACGCGTCCGGTGGGAGCAACGCTGGCGCCACCGCACCCACCAGGGACGCTCCTCAGCCAGATCGCAGTCGGAGCACGCCCCCTGCCGCCGTCGGAGTGCGTGGATCGGCGGGCACCAACGGAACCAGCAGGGGCGTCTCGGCCGGCGGCGATGGAGCAGGAGCAGCAGCGGCGGCGGCGGCAGGTGTGGCGGTGCCGTCGTGGGAGGTGTGCGAGGTGGGGAAGGGAGTGGTGGCCGCGGACTACATACCGTGCCTGGACAACGTGAAGGCGGTGAAGGCGTTGAAGTCGCTGCGTCACATGGAGCACCGGGAGCGCCACTGCCCGACGGCGCCGAGGCCGAGGTGCCTCGTGCCGCTGCCCACGGGGTACCGGTCACCCTTGCCGTGGCCGCGCAGCCGTGACATGGTGAGCATGACTGCTTGCCTTCTTCGGTAAGCGAGGAAGCGGTTTTACCTTGTTCATTCCACAATGGTGAAATGGTAGTAATGGTAATTTGATATTGCTAAATCTTGTCCCATAGGAGTACCTGACAAAGAGTCTGTTGTGTGCCGTGTGGTTTGGCTGTGCCGTGATCGGTGATACTCAACCCAAACTAGCATGTTTAAGCATCCAAGTAAACAAAGCAAACATTGCAGTTTCTTCAGTATTTTGTTACTAAACTAGCTACTGTTATGAACTTATATGTACAAATGAACCTGGAAACCATAATGGAGAACACTGTTAGGGTCTTAGGGACGTGGCTTCAACGTCCCCGTCTAATGTATGTTGCCAGGTTGAGAATTGTGCATATCCACTAGGTAGTAGGATTTTTTTTTTGTCAAATCAGAAAGACCCGTGCATTTTATCTGTGCAACTATCGTCCACAAGATGTTCATCAACTAGAATTCTGTTTTATAAAAGCCAATTGTGGCATCGTCCACAAGATGTTCATCAACTAGAATTCTGTTTTATAAAAGCCAATTGTGGCTATATCTTGTGATGACATATTTCCTCTGCAAATTTCAGATTTGGTACAATAATGTCCCTCATCCAAAGTTAGTGGAATACAAGAAGGACCAGAACTGGGTTAGGAAGTCTGGCAATTATTTTGTTTTCCCTGGAGGTGGAACTCAATTTAAAGCTGGTGTGACTAAATACATTCGATTTATTCAACAGGTATATACTTTAGAAGTTGTTAAGTCGTAGATAAGTTTCATAATATTAAGACAATAAATTTATGCTTGTCTGTGAAACAACTTCACAGCCTAAGTTCAGTGTTTAAGTGGCATATTCCTAAAATTAATATGGATCCTGGTGGTTCAAAAGCAAACATGGACATATATTCCTAGGATAATCATGCAAAGTTAAAATATATTGCTTCAAAGTATCCGATATGATGTTATCCCTTGTTATAATTGTTTACTTCCAGCCTTGTTGATTTAATAGATCATGCCAAACATTGAATGGGGGACCCATACAAGAACTGTTCTGGATGTTGGATGCGGTGTTGCCAGCTTTGGTGGATACTTGCTTGACAGGAATGTCATTACTATGTCTGTTGCACCCAAAGATGAGCATGAAGCTCAGATACAGTTTGCTCTCGAACGTGGAATTCCAGCATTGTTGGCAGTGATTGGAACACAAAAACTTCCATTCCCTGATAATTCATTTGATGTGATCCATTGTGCAAGGTGTAGGGTCCACTGGTATGCTGATGGCAAGTACTTTAAACCATTGTTGATATGTTTATCTTACAATTCTTCACGTTGTTGACTTTTAAATAGGAATGTTCAGTGGGTTCATTTATTATATTTTCTATGTTAAAATGTAATGCGCACTTTTTTAATTATGACTTCACTAACCTGGGGCATACAGGTGGAAAACCATTATTAGAGCTTAATAGAGTGCTCAGGCCTGGAGGATACTACATCTGGTCTGCAACTCCTGTATATCGTCGTGGCAAAAGAGATGAAGACGACTGGAATGGTTAGTAAGATCTATTATGTGTCGTAGTGATTTTTACCATCATAAGTTCTCAAATTACACATTACTATCTCAAACAAATTATGCATCTTTGCGGAACAGATAAATAATTTGTTGCTAAGAAGGTTTCATGCATAGTATTTTATTGTGACCCTATATAATAGCAAGTTCCATGCTGGCTTATATTAAGTAGAATAAAAAAAAGACTGTAAATTTGGTACCTCTGTATAATGAAGGGGTGTGTACTAGAAGGGAAATTACAAAGTCTTGTTAGAACGAGTGAAAGCTTCAGAGGCTTGGCACACTAAGTTCCCAGGCAGTTGAGATAGCATCACATTTTAAGAATATAAAAAGTATCGTCTCAGTTATGTTGACATTTTTAACAATATTGGTGTGTAACACAGTCTGCAGTTAAGAACATGAATTTAACAAATTCATATGATAGTGTTCTCATTATGCGTGTATGATTACAGAATATTTCACTGTTGTTTGACCTGTGATGGGTTTATATATGTTACTACCTGTTACTTTTCCTTAAAGGCACGGATCAATATAGTTTACATATGATTGTAGGGATCAATGTATTCTTGCTAACTGGAGTTTGTGTTCCACTTATTGCAGCGATGGTTACTCTGACCAAGTCAATTTGCTGGAGGACAGTAGTAAAATCTAAGGATGTTAATAGGATTGGTGTTGTTATATATCAGAAGCCAACCTCAAATTCTTGCTACTTTGAGAGAAAACAGAATGAACCACCCCTATGCCCTAGTAGGGAAGGATCACATTCCCCTTGGTACATCTTATTGATGAGTCATTTCCTTTGTTTTATTTCACATACAGTTGAGACTTACACAATTTGTGCAAGTCCTTACATCACTAGTGCATGTTTGGGCTGATTGCTGCACTGATGTAGGCACTTAAGTTTTGTGTCATCTGCTAGTAGTTCTTGCTACTGGTGTCTAAGCTTTGTAGAAGTTTTATTGTACTAGATAAACTAATGTTATTTTTTTGTTGCCCTCTTTAGGTATGCACCACTTGATAGTTGCCTCTTGTTACCTGCTGTGTCAAGTTCAGGTGAAGGAAACAGCTGGCCCATTTCCTGGCCAGAAAGGCTTAACATCAAATACTCAACTATATCTGACAACGCTTCTACTCAGTTTTCTCAAGAAAAATTTGATTCTGACACAAAGCACTGGAAGGACCTTGTTTCAGAAGTATATTTCAATGAGTTTGCAGTTAATTGGTCTACCGTTCGCAATGTCATGGATATGAATGCTGGTTTTGGAGGGTGAGAAAACTTTGATTCTTAATTTTCTTCAATGGGCTTGTTGATATTTCACAAGTTATGACCATGTCTTTCAATGTTTGAATGCTTTGTTTTGATCCCATGAAATTTTCTGTCCTTTGTTTTCCTGAATAGTTAGACTGTTCATTTGGTTTAGTCCGGTTGTTGGTTTTGAGAGTTTATATATTGGTCCCAGTGTTCTAGTGTTCACTATTCCTTATATGGTAGCTTTTCTATTGAAGAGTACATTTCATTTTGTTTAGTGGATTTCAGCAGCCAATCTTTACACGTATAGGCTTGAACTTCTTGAATTTCTGAAATGTCCCAGATTGTAGTCTAATAGTAGCTTGTTGTGTTAAGGATCTATCATTCTATGTAATCTTCAAAAGCAGATGTTCTGTTCACACGATTCCAATTGCTGTTTACAGTATGTTTCAAGGATCCTTCTTTTTCTTATAACGATGAGCAGTCTAGCTATATAGTTTGTTTGATGGTGAGATAAAATTACCTGGTTTTCTTTCTTCTACCAGATTTGCGGCGTCACTCATCCACAAACCTTTGTGGGTTATGAACGTTGTACCTTTTGATCATCCAGAAGCCTTGCCTATCATTTTCAACAGAGGTTTGATTGGGGTATATCATGACTGGTGTGAATCTTTTAATACATATCCCCGGACCTATGATCTTGTTCACATGAGTTATCTCCTTCAGGGCCTCACAAATAGGTGAAAAATCATGTCTTGATTCTTTGAGAACTGTTCTGTTTAAATATCATTATTCTCTTCTACCAACGTACAGAATCAAGCAAGCTTGGTATTAATGCTTTTGTATTTTAGGTGTGATATCATTGAAGTAGCAGCAGAAATTGATAGGATACTTAGACCTGGAAAATGGTTCGTGTTGCAAGATACTGAGCAAGTGATTAGAAAAATGGATCCAGTTCTTCGCTCTTTGCACTACAGGACTGCAATTGTGAAGCAACAATTTCTTGTCGCTACAAAGGGCTTCTGGCGCCCATACAGTGCAGGTTCTGAGTCAAGATGATTCATGCTTCGTCTTCTGTTGCTGTTAGTAAAAATCAAACAACTGATTTGATTCTTTAAATTCTAATTACATGGATTCTTCGCATAGCATAGATGACACAAATTAGCCCCATATCAACGGTGAGTTCATTCCCTCTGTTTGTAGTTAGCAGTCCATATTAACCATCGGGCTTACTGAGTTGATTCTTTTGTTTCCGTTTTGTTGTGTACAAATTAAAGAACTTATGGCTACAGCAATAGCCAATAGGTTAGCAATAACAGATTGTGGATTTTGAAAGCATGTCTTGATTATTCATTGGTATTTACCTTCGTATATTTAGCAATGATGTTTTCATGCCTTCTTGCAAAGTAACAACAGTAAACTCCCAAGCTATTTTGTTACCGGTGCTTTTTGTGTTGTCTCGGGTATATTATTTCTTTGCATGCTTCACAGTTGACTCGTCTGTTTGGATTGAACACCCATCAAATACTATGATATTGTCCCCAGCAATGGGTGTAGAATGGACAGGCCGGACCTGAATCCGCCAGAGAGGGGCGTACGTTGGCGTGCTGAAACTTACCTTTAGTTTATTTTTTTCGAAGCGCTTCAGAGGTGAAGAAAGCATTGTGTAAGTGATGTGTTTCCTCTCTATTATTATTTTGTTCATGCAATTTAAGAAGCCAGTATTTGGCATAGCTTCTTCGGCTTTTAAGACGAAGCTAATTTTAATTTGAAATGTTGATTTTAAGAATAAATTTAGCTGGTTTCTTTTACTTGTTTACTTAGGAATAGCAAACATGAAAAAATAAAAAAGAGTTGGGCAACAAAACTGCGGAAGAAACCACCTAAAATTAATCCTAAAAATCAGATTCTAAAATTTCAAAAAACTGGTCCAGTGCAACACGCTGACTACACATCAATGCTAGAAGCTCATGAAAAAGGTTAGGTTTAGTTTGATTCCAAAACTGTCAATGTAAGATAATAGATAATATCATATTACCCTAATTTATTAGGGCAGCACTATGATCGGGTGTTTGATAGCCACCCATACTATCCTTACCTTTGGCTTGACCATTGCCGCCGGGCGACGGTGGCTCACGAGATCTGATGAGATCTGATGCTCGAGCGCGTAGACGAGCGGTGGTGCTCGCCCACGCCCGTCGCAGCGGAGACGAGGACACACCACGTTCGGCCGCGCACGCTATGTTCGTGTTCGTCTGTGGTAGGCCCGCGTCGTGCGGACCCAGCAGATCACAGGAGAACAAACCGTGAACGTGGGCCGCATGGGTACGGAGACATGTATGGGTTATGGCCTATGAGCCGCAATCGTCAGTTAAATTGGTTCTACCGGGCCGAGGGGTCAAAGTCCGTTGTAAAAAGTACACCGAAGGTCCCTCAACTTGTCATCGAGTTACAAAAATCGTCCCCAACCACAAAACTAGATATATGACATCTCTCAACTTACAAAACCGTTCATTTTAGATCCTTTGGTGTTTTTGACCCCGGTTTTATCCGACGTGGAGGTTGAGTTAGCGTGGGACCCACGTGGACCCCACATGTCAGGATGCCACATCATCACCAACACTGTTTGTCAAGAGCGCGGCAGGGAGGGACACGCCATCGCGATGGTCATCGAAGAGGATGCGGGGGTGGCAAAACCTGGCCATCGCCATGATCTGCACCTTACACCTGGCGAAGTCGTACTTCTTCCACCTCGGCACCGTCGCGGACACTAGCTTAACCACCACCAGGTCCCCGCCAAGCCCGGACACGAAGGGCGGCGGCGGTGGCTGCTTGTAGCGCCCGTTCCGTCGTGGCGCCTAGCGGGAAAATTATCTCTCAAAAACCCTAATTGCGAAATTTTGTTTCCTTGCTTGTTGTCTAGTGTCCGTGCCATCTCAAGATCTCAATCCCCGATCTATCGTCAAGTTCCAATTTCCGAATCCAAATCTTCCGAATCTTTTTCCTCCGCAAAGTCTGCTTTGCCTCCCCGGCCCTTTTCCTTTTTCCTCTCTCTCTCTCTCTCCCTCGCGCTCCCTCGCTCTCTCCCGATCCCGCCGCTTTGCCCGCGCGCCGCGCGCGTGCGCGCGTGAGCCGCTCGCGCCCGCGCAAGCCGAGTGGCCGACCGCCCGGTCGCCGCCGCCGTCAGCTCTGCCCGCGCCAGTCGCCGCTGTCGCCGCTCCGCTCCAAACCGCCCGCCGTCGTCATCACCGGCCCCCGCCACTCCGCGCGCTAGCCGCCAAGGCCCGGAGGCCGCGCCTCACCTCCCTCTGCCGCGTCGTCGCCCCGCGCCCACCCTCTTTTTCCCGAATCGGCAAAGGAGAGAATTCCTTTCTCCTCCTCCTTTTCCCCTTCCTCCTTTTTCCTCTCCCGCCGGCGTCATCCCGTCTGCCACCGCTTTGGCCGCTAGCCGAGCGCCAGCTCGCGCTCTTGACCGCGCAAGTCGGTTCCCCAAACCGACATTGCCGCCTCCTTAAACCCCCGGCCTCCCCTTCTCCTTTCCTCCCCATTTTCGCCTCCTCCACTGCCGTCTCTTTTTTTCGCCGTCCCCAATCATCGCCGCGCGTGTCGGAGGAGCCGGCACGAGCAAGGACGCCGAAGAGGACTCCGGCCGCGCCTCTTCTTCCTCTTCCCCGGCCCGAGGCCGGAGAGGTCACTCCCGCGCCGTCGGCCTCTCGTCACAGCGCCTCTCCCTCCCCGCGGTGATGTTTCGCTTCGTTCTCCCTCCTCGCTCCGTCTCCCCCCCTTAGACTTCGGTTTTAGCTCGAGTAGACCTCCCATAGTTGGCCGGCGCCGCCCCGACCGATGCCGTTGCTCGCCTTGTGCTCGCCGCCGTCGCCGCTCGAGCTCCGAAGTAGCCGCACGTCGCCAGCCCAGCTCGGCATAGCTCCGTCCAATCCAACCCTAGCATCGAGTTCCCGTGGCCTTGTAGATGCTCTCACCGCCGGAAATCGACCTCTCGTGGCCTCATCGCCGTTTCCCTCTTCTTCCGCCGCCGGTTGCCGCCGCCGCAATCCGCCGCCGCCGAGCTACCTCCGGCGAATCCGAGCCGTTGGCTCGTCTCCTCTCGTCCCGTACTACCGCCCGGTGTACTCGCTGTCGCTTGTATCGCCGTGGCCCGCTCCGCCGATCGCCGCCGCCGCCCGCCGTCCGTTTCGGCTGGGCCTTCGTCTACCTTCCGCCGACCCGCGTGGCTGCCACGTAGGCGCCACGTCGGCGCCACCTCGGCCGCGACCAGATAAGCCGACCCGGCCAGCCGCTCCCTCCGTTTCTCCCCGTGCGCGTGGTCCGCGGTAAGCCGTGAGGCTGCACGTGGGCCCGCCGCCTCCGCCCTCACCGCGAGCCGCGCGCATGCGCCGCGTGCTCCCTCCGCACGGTGGGCCGAGCCGCTGACAAGCGGGTCCCACCCGGGGCCGCGCGAGGTGAGCCCGGTCCACCGGCTCTCTCTCTCTCCTCTCCCGCGCGCGCGCGTAAATGGGCCGCTTTGGGCCGTCCGGCCCGTTTAGCTCGGCCGGACCGAGCCGAATACCTTTGGGCCGCGCCCTAGCCGCCCGAGGAAAGTCTAGAGTCCCTCCCTTCATCATTTCCTTTTTCTTTTTCCAAAAGGGATTTAATTAAATCCTTTTTCCTTTAGACCAAAAAAAATCCAATAACCTTAGAAATTCAATATCTTTCCAACCATAACTCCGCTTGACTCCGTTCAACTTCCAAAATTTCCCAAATCTCGAGATCTACCTAATGGCACGCTTAGGGGTCATTAATAGGGCTTTATTTTCGCCGTTTGTTGAGTTGTCCCGTTTCGCGTGTAGTTTCGGAGCCCGAAGACCCGCAGTGCGAGGATTTCAAGGATCAAGCTCCAGATCTCGAGCAAGGCAAGCCACCTTTGAACAACTTGAGCCTATATTTGAAATTTAATTATATTGCTTGCAAAATATTATGCATTGATAGGATCACACTTAATCTGTTGTCCCGTCTGCAAGGCAGATTGGCGGACCTACCTAACTTGTTGCATTTGATCCATCCGTTGTTAATTGTTACACCATGTCCCCTTGTAACCACCCAGATGCGACTCGATACTCGTGCACTCTGTGCGAATATCGACGGTCGCCTTCAAATTTAAAATCTGAAGTAACAACTTGGGTAAAACTGGAGTTTTACAAAAGCCTTGGAAAACCCGACACCTGGGTCGGTGCTTGCGAACTAAATGAATTTCCAAATCCGCGGACCGGGGAACGTACCGGGTGTACGGTTTCCCGCTCTCGCACTTAAGGACCGATTCCTTGGAATTTCATCCAAACATAAGACAAGTACGACCACATGGGTGGAATGGGACACCCCTGGCTGAGTAACTAGCTTATCAGGGGAGCCTTGATGCCGAGAGACATGTGGATTCGCCGGGGTGGTGTCGGAGAGGACCCCTGGGCTTCCTGGCACAGTATGGTCTGGGACCTAACCTGTTGTTGGTCTGGGACCCCTCTCGTCGGCATATGGTAAACCTGTGTCGGCTTTCGAAATGCCTTGTCATGAAAGCTTGGAGGTCTCCCGACGTGGCTGATCCCCACGGGCTGGGTGACCCGGGTTAGTAATGTCGTGTGGGTAAAGTGTACCCCCTCTGCAGAGGTTAACAAACTGTTCGAACAGCCGTGCCCACGGTCATGGGCGGATGTGAGGTGATTCCTAGCGTAGTTTTGTTTGACTACTGCTTGTGAAATTTGCTGTTGTGAAATCGGGTTCGATGTTTGAAAAGAAACCTGCAGCTGATGGGATCAGCTAGGCCCGGGTGGCCATTTGAAAGGTGTTGGCCCGGGTGGCCGTTTAAAAAGCTTTTGGCCGGGTGCCAACCTTGTTTCAAAATCTAAAGACTGATACATTGCACATACTCCGACCGGACGAGACGCACTGCCTCGTCCGTGTCGTTTGAGAAGCACTCACTTAGTTGCTTTTAGAAAAGAGTTCAAATAAAATCAATTGCAAAAACAACAGCCTTTCCTTGAAGCCTGCATTAAACACTTATTTTCCCCTGGCTTGCTGAGTACTCCCGTACTCACCCTTGCTCTATATAAATAATCCCCCCCCCAGTTGCGGAAGAAGATGAAGTGGATCCTGCTGATGAGGAGTTCTTCCAGGAGCAAGCCGGCTACGATGAGTTTTAGGGTTTCGGCCTAGTTCCCAAGTCGCGCCTGTGATGATTGGTCCAAGTCCTGGCTTCCGTTTCGCTTTTGTAATGCAGTTGTGAGCTCGGGATCTGTCCGTAGCCCAACATGACTGTACTCCTACTCTATAATAAAGAGACCTCTGTTGCTATGATATTCTGTCTCCCTGTGATACCAGCACT